CCGATGCGCCTCTGCGGCCGCGACCAACGACGGGAAATGGAATGGAGGTGGTGAGCACGTGGTGGTCTGTTAACACTGTTTTTCGCAGTGTGCGTGGCTCGAGCTACGAGGGTATTGTAATGCGGCAGCAACCTTAGACGACACCGCCGGATCGCAATTGTTCGGATATCTATGCTGGCTTCATGTAATGAAAGACCGTTTACGTTGCCGGATTGTTAGATGGATCGGAACCCGAACCCGAGCTCTGGATCCAAAAGTTTTCACGACTGAGCTGCGCATGTGCGCTGCCTGCGGTCCGCTCCAACACTCAGCCAGTCGGCGTCGTCGGCGGCTGGATAGATCACACTTGCGTAGCGTCGATCGGCCAGCTGTGACCCGCGGTGGGAGACCTTTCGGCGATCAAGCCCCGCCCGCCGGGGCGCTGACCCGGCCCGCTGCACCGACCAGGTCAGCTGTCTGCCGCCGGTCGGTTGCCAGCTAACGGCAACGGGGATAAACAGACGCGGAACTTTCCTGCAAATATTGGGAATGCAATGCCGTTCTTGGGTTCATTCTTTTTGTATGATGTCATAGGCCCAACACCAGTTTTCTGAGATGATGGGGATGCAGCTGTGTCCCCAATCAACAGTAAAGTTACGTCCATGGTGATAACAGCGGCCGCGGCGCTCCAAAATTCTCCACTGCTGGTTCGAGCTTGACGAGTACTGGAGGAGCCTGTGGACGCCGGCGTCGGACACATTCACTTGACGAATACTGGAGGAGCCCGCGGACGCTGGTGTCGGGCACATTCACTTGACAAATACTGGATGAGCCTGTGGACGCCGGCGTCGGACACATTCACTTGACGAGTGCTGGAGGAGCCTGTGGACGCCGGCGTCGGACACATTCACTTGACGAGTGCTGGAGGAGCCTGTGGACGCCGGCGTCGGACACATTCACTTGACGAATACTGGAGGAGCCCGCGGACGCTGGTGTCGGGCACATTCACTTGACAAATACTGGATGAGCCTGTGGACGCTGGCGTCGGACACATTCACTTGACGAGTGCTGGAGGAGCCTGTGGACGCCGGCGTCGGACACATTCACTTGACGAGTGCTGGAGGAGCCTGTGGACGCCGGCGTCGGACACATTCACTTGACGAATACTGGAGGAGCCCGCGGACGCTGGTGTCGGGCACATTCACTTGACAAATACTGGATGCCTGTGGACGCTGGCGTCGGACACATTCACTTGACGAGTACTGGAGGAGCCCGTGGACGCTGGCGTCGGACATATTCACTTGACGAGTGCTGGAGGAGCCTGCGGACGCTGGCGTCGGACATATTCACTTGACGAGTACTAGAGGAGCCTGTGGATGCCGGCGTCGGACATATTCACCTGACGAGTGCTGGAGGAGCCTGTGGACGCTGGCGTCGGACACATTCACTTGACGAGTGCTGGAGGAGCCTGTGGACGCCGGCGTCGGACACATTCACTTGACGAATACTGGAGGAGCCCGCGGACGCTGGTGTCGGGCACATTCACTTGACAAATACTGGATGAGCCTGTGGACGCTGGCGTCGGACACATTCACTTGACGAGTACTGGAGGAGCCTGTGGACGCTGGCGTCGGACATATTCACTTGACGAGTGCTGGAGGAGCCTGTGGACGCTGGCGTCGGACATATTCACTTGACGAGTACTGGAGGAGCCTGTGGATGCCGGCGTCGGACATATTCACTGACGAGTGCTGGAGGAGCCACTACTGAGGAAGCCTGTGGATGCCGGCGTCGGACATATTTTTTTCGGACATATTTTATCAGTAGCTGGCTGAACACAGCGCTTAAGCGTGGACTTGAGTTGTAGTTGGTTTCCTTTATTGATAAGAATGTTAATGTGTGATACCTAACTGCAGACAATTCCAGACAACACCAAATACAGTCATTTGATGCCCCATTGTCAGTCGTTTTTTGAAGGAAAGTCCAAAGCCTTGTCATAATTTTGATCGGGAATCTTCAGACATGCTAAGCACCCTGCGAATGTACATTGCCGATTGCGATTGGTCAACAATGTGTATTGACATGGCCAAACCATGTCTGGCCGGCAATTTTCAATATTCAGTCAGAATCGATGAGTGATACAAATTGTGTAACGTGGTTTGGAAGATGAGCGCTCCATGTCGTTTACTTCAGCAACAAAAGCCCCGACGACAGGCGTTGCAGTCGTCATAGGCCACGCAGCGTCGGTTCAGCGGTTAACTCTGAGCCGTGTCCAACGGATGGGCGAAAAGGATGGCGGCTCTGAAAAAAATCACCTTTAAATGCTTTAGGTCTCCAAGTCTTACATTTACAAGGAAGTCTAGGCGTACATTTCACCCGTCGTTTGTTTTTTTTAACTAATTTCGACCCACTCTATTAAAATTAATTAGACCCTCTATGTCCTTTCTGGCAAGGTGAGTAGAACACCAGGAGCACGTTCTTACTGTTACTGGTCTTACTTACTTACTTGTAGTTATTGCTCCCGGTCAGGGGCTCAGCGGCCATTCCGTCCCATCGTGGGGTGTCTTTCGACTGACATCCTGACGACACGTGGCGGGATCCCGCGGTCGATCCTGACGCCTTTAGAGGGATACATCATATCACATTGTTCCCCTCCCTGACACGGGAGACCTTCTGACCCGCACGATTGGTCCCGGATCAGCACAGGAACCCTTTTCGACGCAAAAACATCCGTGATCGTCGCATGCGGTTTAACAATTGTCGTATAGACTTCAGTTACAGATTTTCCCTGTGTTCTACATAGATATTAGGGCCCCATGAACGCAGATCGTTGAGCAAAATGGGGTCCTCAATTTTTATTGGTATGGCTAACCCATGTTTGCCCTAAAATGTTCAACATTCAGACAAGATTGATCACTGAGAAAAATGATGTGGTATTGTTTTGAGCGTGCGCGTTCACAAATTTTAGCAACGGCAGCCTCGACGCTCGGCGCTGCAGTCTCCGTAGGCCGCGCGGCTTTGGTCCCGCGGTTGAAACATCAAGGGACGGCCAATGGGCAAACGAACAAGATGACGCATTTTGAGGAAGGTGGCCGGTGATCTTGGTAAACTTGCATGCATGCTTGAGGTAGTACAAAAGTAAGCTAAACGCAACTTAAATCTGAAAAAGTGGGCGGGGGCGGTAAACATTGCTGGTCCCCCATCCTGAAAAGTGGGGGCCATGACCTCCTGCCCCCCCCCCTTGTTCTTAACCCATGCTCTCAGCAATGAAATAGAAAGCGGCTTAGCGTCATAAAAAACAAGTGAAGGGCCAGTAAATCTGTCGAGTAGAAAACGAGACTGCCTGGACCCAGTCCGAATGAATATCTTCGTAGGGATCTTAGCGGGGCCTGCCATTCCACTGGCATAGCGGCGAAAGACCATCGGTGTATTTGCAAGAATCGGCATAAGCTGTCGTAAGCAGTAAGTAAGCATCTGGCGCGCTTCTTTACCCAGCTGGCATGTGTTTGACGAGGGTGTACCAATGTCGTACTAATGAAGACATCATCAATCGGAGCGACATGGAACAAAGACCCAGCTGAGTTGTTGCCATTTCCGCCCTCGCTGGCATGTCCGGCACCTGCTGCTTTTGTTGAAGTCTGAGCTGGTGGCTGGCACCCAATGCGTCGGTTCGAAAGGCCGTGTTCAATCCCTGCCATTCTCGCGCGCAGTGAGATGCAGGGACGAATGGCTTTTGCTGACAGCCCGAAGCCTACGAGCCGATGCACGTGGCCTCGGATTGTGGGGACTTCAGCTCAGGATTATATGGAAATACGGAGCCGAAGGATAAACGTGCTATGCTGATCGCCCAGCTCGCATGCCGCGGTTTTTAATGCGATCGTGGTCCTACTGGAACAAGGCTTCTTACCTTTGCGGACATACGGATGAATTAATGGTGCATAATATCACATCAATGACTTCTTGTATTAACGGAGGGGTAGCAAAAGTCAACGATTACTTGAGAGAATGGAAGCGATTGACAGCACCTACCGCGTTGCCGGAAATCATGCTGAACAAAATCGTGCTGCTCACTTCGATGCTTTTGAATGTGCCCCTTTGATCAGAGACGGGGTTGAATTCCAAAATAAGTCCGTATGATGCAGGTGACTCAGCAATCCGGGCTGGACTACCACCACATGCATCTCAAAAGACCATCGGAAGCAGTTCTTTGAAGGCGCATCGCTTCAATCGCATTCAGTTCTTGCAATTCTTACTTCGCGTGAGTTGCATGCATGCCAGTTCCAGGTAACTGCGACTGCGCGATTCGTTCGAAGATCTTCTCCAGCGAGCGTTGCACGCCGTTCGCTTCCTCGAATCGCCCGCGGGCTAGACAGGCCATCAGAAGTGGAGCATCCGTCGATGCATCGCCAACTGTCGCATCGCTGCATGTTAATAGTTTGGCCCGACTTGCATTAAGCGACCAGCCGAATGTGATAGATATTTCTCTAAAGGCCCTGTCCGGTTATCTGTGTACCTGCAGACCTTGTGCGTATTGGGTGCTACTGGATGTCAATTGTGTGTGCAGAACAGGAACATTACAGACAATTCGGTCTCGGAGTGTCCAATCGGAGATGGATGAATCTGGTGATATCTGATGGACATCTGGTAGCAGCCATGACTACGGGGAGTGGCGGAGAGAGCCGGCGTTAGGGAAATATTGTAAGTTCTGATGATTCGTCCAATGTTAAATAGATCTGCCGCGTTCTGGTGCCGCCTCCGGCTTAGAGCGATCTGCCGAGTTCCGGTGCTGCCTCCAATTTACAGCGATCTGCCGTGTTCTGATGATGACAAAAAACTGCTGCAATATGATGGCGGCGCCGCGTCCTTGAGCCAGAGGAAGATGTTGCTCCTAGGCGAATCCCCCCCCCCACCTACCCCCGGTCCCCCTAATGACACGCCCCTGGCGCGAAGTCCAGCCGGAGAACGGCTTCCGGCTCGGCCTGGGCGGCATGTTCGTGGCCTGACCTGACCTTCTGTTGCAGCGGGAGCACGTACGAGGGCCACTGGCAGAACGGACGCCGACACGGCCTGGGTGTAGAGACGCGCGGCCGGTGGCTGTACCGGGGCGAGTGGACGCAGGGCTTCAAGGGCCGCTACGGTGTGCGCCAGTCCACCACCTCGTCCGCCAAGTATGAGGGCACCTGGGCTAACGGTCTGCAGGACGGCTACGGCTCTGAGACGTACGCCGACGCAGGTCAGTTACCCCAACAGCGCCAGAGGGTGTGGTCCCGGGTCGGACACCCTTGGCCCGCGCCGGCTCTCGATGCATTACGCGCCTGGGTCCCGTGTCGCCCAGGTTCTCTCCTGCGACGTGCTGACCTCTGCTTGACCTGGGTCCCGGTGCGGCGTGGCTCGACCTTTCCCAGACCAGCTCGCCCTGTGTCGCGCCGGCCCGTGACACGCCCCAGCGCCGGCGGCCCCGGCAGAGCGACCCGTCCGGCCTGGTAGTGCCGCCCGCCTAGTCGGTGTCGGCTGTCTGGTTAGCGGCGACGCGAGTCAAGGCTCGCCCCGCTGGTGGGTGGCTGAGAGTGAAGCCATGTTGGCTGTCCGGCTGCGGCCACCGGGCTCTGGCGGCCTCACCGGACAACGCGGACGGAGCTGTCTAGCGGAGCGATAACTGTGAACGACTCCGCTGTTTTTCAGGCTACATACAGCGTATGCTGGTGCGCAGTTGGGTATTGCTCCATCTCCCCTCCCCCCTCCTCCGTGCCCGTCCCCGTATTTGCGCTGCCTTTGGGCAAACTTCGCGGTTGGCCCGCTCACCTTCGAAACGTGATAGGTCAAATCCGCAGGAAGCGTAACGTTGTGGCTTTGTCGAGTTACCAGGTGCAACTGCAATCGATTTTACATTTCTTACACCGGTTACTTTGTGGATTGCACAAGCTGTGTCGCTTGTGACCACGCGCGCGCCTTTGCCTTGGTCCACTGACGCAGTGACCCTGCCACAGGTTCAAAGCAGAGTGGAAATAAGTCTTTAAGGCGTCCCTTCCCACGCAACGCCTCTAGCGTCATACTAAATTTCGCCTAAAGTCGCGGACCTATCCCTCCCCTACCCCAGTGCGGCACCCATGCGTTGACGGTGGCGGCGGCGGGTGGGGCAGCTCCCAGCCCGTTGTGTCGTTGGACCGTCTGTCAGGACGCGCCTGTGTCGTGTCGAGCGGCGCTCGGCTGGCGGCAGCCGCATCGGTCCCCGTGGCCGCCTGCCAGCCCTCCACCCACGGCCGGGGCGGGCCGAGCATACCCGGGCCACTGACCGGCTGCCGTGCGATCTGACGTCACTGGTGCTCACCGCCGGGCATGCGGCGTGTCGTCGACCGACCCGCTGGCCTGTAGTGTGACGTCATTGGTGCCCACCGTTGGGCACCCGGTCAAGACACCAGCATGGTCGCTGGTATCACGTCGTCACGTACACATCCGCCGGAGTTTTACCTTGCCCTAGACTGGCCACCCGTGCAGCAGTAAATTGTCAGACGTCAGTTTGCACGCGTGCAGTGTATCTTAGGGCTCTCGCACAACAGGTGGCCAATTTTTACCGTACGGTTGACTGGGTGCCGTCCCTCCGCCGTGCCTGACCTCCCCTTCCCTCCCCCCCCCCCCCTCAGTGTGCCACGCTCCGCCCCTCGGTCGGACCTGGGCTCGCGCCTGACCCGTCAGAGGGCCAGATTTACCGCGCCGCGCCCTGATTTACGTCCGCCTCGGGGCGGCCGTGACGCCGGTAACAGCACATAACGACCGGCACACGATCGCCTGGAGGCGCCGTCGGCGGCGTCTTTAGCACGCGCCGGCCCCGCCCGACGGCGCGCCGCCGGCCGGCCGGGGGCGGGCCGACCGAGCGCCGTGCGCGGCGGCACATCGGCCGGGCCCGGCCAGCCGGCCGGTAATGGGCGCCGCCGTGCCCCACCCCCGCCCCAACCGCCCACGTTAAGACAACGAGCGACCAGTGGATAACGGTAGCGGGAAATGGCTCGCGATGGTCATTAGTTAATGGCGTAATGGCATGGCGGGAAGCGGCAGAGCAAACAGGCCTGGTCTGGGTCGATCCATCGGGGCCAGAAATGTTGGTTCCTGCTATCATAGGGGATCATCCGACGCATGCCAGCTGGGCTGAGATTCTCTCGGAAGGACATGCTCTGCGCGCACAGGAACCTCGACGAACAGTGGCGTACCGTGCGGCCGTCTGTGTCGCCTCGATGTGCTACCTCGCTGGTGCTCCACCTGGTGCACGCGTCCATCGTTTGGCGGCGTGGCTGCCGCGACGCCAGCGGCCCGGGTCTGCGGGCGGTCCGCGGTCGCCGGCCGCGTCCGGTGGCGGTCCGGCCCGCCGGCGTCGCTTTCGCGCCGCCCCAGGCAGGATCACTTCAAAGCGACGGACGTCTCCGCCCCTGCCCCGGCCTGGGAGGCCGCCAAGCACAATCATGGGCAAACACATGAGCCGCCGCCCGTGAGAGACGCCGCCGGCCGGCGCCGGCCGGCGGCCGCGGCGGCACGTCTGGCCAGGAGCCACGTGCCCACGGATGGAGAACGCCCAGGATAACTGCTCTGGAACGGCTGTCGCGGCAAGCACGTTTCGATCCGACGATGCGTTCAGAAGAAGCTAGTTTCCATGACAGCCGGTGAAGCCACAGCCACATCTACCACGCGCATTTGCCATTGACAGACGTGCGTGGGACGCATGTGGGCGTCCGACACGCCTCGTGCCGCCGGCCCGTGGCCTTGGTGTAGCGTGAACGCGGACAGCGGGGTGTCAGTAGCCGACTGTCGCGTCTGACCCGCGTCCAGGATCAGACGCGATGATAGCGCGCCCAGGCCCCGTCCCTCGGGGGGGGGGGGGCCACCAAGGGGGATGGCCGTGATCAGCAGGGACCCCGAATTGGCAACTGGTAAAATTGTCGCTTGTGCCAACATCTATGGCCGGTAGAATTGTTAGTAAAACCATACGTTGCGCTGTCGTAACAGAACATAGACAATGCCATTGTGTGCAAAGTTACAATTTTTCCCCTGTTAACCCTCGCCCTGAAAGAGGATCAGTGCGAACCCCTTAAATTTTTTTGAGGATACCTCTCCGGAATATTGTGCAATCACGCTCAAGTTTTCAGTGGACTATGAAGCATCTTCTACACGTCTTTTTGCATAAAAAACGTGTCACTAGCTTTTCTAGTGTCGGAGCAATGGTGTTTTTTTAGGAACACTGCACGGCGATCTACGGCCTGAGCGGCCGGCGCGGGTGGCAGCCGACGATGCCGCCGAACGCGCGGCGGGCCGACGTTGCTATAGCAACGGAGCCATACACGATAAAAATAATCTAAAAACGCATAAAATATACGCCATTGTACTCATAATTGAACGAGAAGCACGCTTGTATAGGTTTTGCGCCGTCAAAAGGCACGGTGTTGCATGTGTGGGACTGTAGAGCTCACGAAGTGTGATTTTTGGGAACATTTGACTTTTGACCTGGTATAATGGTGTCAACTATTGACCTGAAGGCAAAGAACCCATTACCCATGATGAGATCTCGTTTATTTCAAATTACTGGCGTTGTTTGCTGAGTTTTTTTTTTTGTTAGTTCTGAGATGGCAGGGGTTACATTGACCATACTATCGGTCCGCGAGATGAAAAACGGCGAATCAGCGCGAGGGCTAAGCTGCGAGACAGATGCGGACATGCCGACCATGCGCTGCTTGGTTGCATCGGCTGTCTCTATTCATTGTTTACTTTGAAATGAAACGGTGATTTAAGGCTGATCTTTTTCCGACCCATATGCTTGCACCATGCGATCTAAAACATCTTCAATCGTCCTTTTGACCGTAAAAGCTGCTAACAGCGGTGTTCATCCGTCTTAAGAAACCGCTGCTGCAGTATGTTATTTATCACGTCCCATTCCGCCCGTGTGACTCCGCACTCCACATATGTCGAGCGCCCCTGTTCTGTTGAATTTCTACTCCGAAGGAAACACGACGCGCGTGGCTGCGTCTCTTTTAAGGAGCGAGTGCATCAGTCATGCTCGCGCCTAAATGGGCTGGCTCAGCCAGGATTCGAACATGAGCCCCCGCGAGAGAGCCCGGCACGCTAACCACCCGGCCATTACGTCCCCATCCGAGTGACCACCCGAGATTACTAGGCAACCAACAATCACTGGCGGATCGTTTTCTAGGGCGAAAGTACCAAGTGTCCTGGCCTTTTCTGCTGTCAGCCATTCGGCCAGCTGCACCATGCGTGACACTAGGTCATTTTGTCATCGCCACCTACGCGTTACGCTTTCATGTAGTTTGTTCACTTCCGAACGGGATGTGACGTGAACGACCAGAGCGGTAGTGTGTCATATCCATTAACATGATATGATGCAGTTCAACCAAGATGCAGTACAACCAAGATGCAGTACACGACCTACCAGAGTCTGCCGCAGCCGCTGTCGTCCGCAGTTGAGCTTTTAAGTGGATGATTTGGATCCCGCTTTTCTCCCCCGCTCTTTACCTCACCGGCCATTCCCATGGATATGATGCATCAGTGCCTTACATTGTAATTTTCCACTTGAAATGTGTGCAGTGAGGAAAAAGTCCTGAATGTGCGGAGATGTGCGGAGATTGGAAGCGTGCAGCAAGGAAAAAGTCCTGCATTGCTGTCTGGAAATAATCACCAGAGAAGTCGGAGCGGTTGCAAAACGCCCAGATGCGGCGATGGCCTGCGCGCTAGACTGCACCGCGGAACAATGCTGTATTGCGGCATAGTCTACCCTTGTGGGTCTGTTCGGAACGATGCGCTGGTAGCGAAATTTTAAGTAATCTTCAGGGGTTCTGCCTTTTCACCTGGTTTCGTCTAATCTCTATTCTGCAATATCCTCTGAGTGCTTTCGCTTGGGCTGTGATTGCAAAGAGTGATCACAGGCACGCGTCCGCCTCCTCGCGCAATTACGACCAATTTCAGGCCGACAGATGGTTAGCAAATGCCGATAAATTATGAATATATATGCGGCGGCCACTGAATTGAGCCCTGGAAAGACCTAGATTTCCGAGCTTTTCAACGACTAAAGAACACAAAATGTGCCAAATGATAAAATTATCAAGGGCATTCAATCGGGATGAGATGAGCTAAGAAGATGGCAACTTATTAAAAGACCGTAACTTGCAAAGATAGAAAAGTATTCAAAAGATACCACACAGATCTAGAATTTCTGAACGTCTAGATTTTGAACCGTGAACGTCATGTACATTATGAACGCGTTCAACAACCAGTGCAATCGATTCTGACTCTCTCGCCTACGTTGATCATTCGTTCCCCGTCCGCAGGCACATACCAGGACGGCTCTTGATCTGACTACCTCACCCGCTCGCAGGCACGTACCAGGGCCGGTGGAAGACCTCCTGACCTGCAGACACGCCTCCTGACCCGCCCCGCCCCGCCCGCAGGCACGTACCAGAGCCAGTTGCAGACCTCCTGACCTGCAGACACGCCTCCTGACCCGCCCCGCCCCGCCCGCAGGCACGTACCAGAGCCAGTTGCAGACCTCCTGACCTGCAGACACGCCTCCTGACCCGCCCCGCCCCGCCCGCAGGCACGTACCAGGGGCAGTGGCAGACCCCCTGACCTGCAGACACGCCTCCTGACCCGCCCCGCCCCGCCCGCAGGCACGTACCAGGGCCAGTGGCAGCGCGGCTTCCGGCACGGCTACGGCGTGCGCACGTCGTCGTCGTTCGGCGCTGCCTCGTCGTCCAAGAGCAAGGCGCACCACCAGTCGTCGGCGTCGCTGCGCAGCGAGGGTGCCGGCGAGCCGACGGCCGAGCGCGACCGGCGCATGGCCGACACGCGCGGAGGGTTCGTCCTGAAGGCGCGCTCCGACGAGCCGCCGCCGCGCCGCGGCTCGCTCGTCGAGAAGAGCACTACGCTGAGGAAGAACATACTGCAGGTAAGGCGGCGCGCGGCGCTCGGGGGGAGGAATGAGGGGCTGATCGTGACGGAAGGGAAGGGTAGGGGTTGAGAGGGATGAGGGGTTGATGGTAACGGAGGGATATGTCGAGTGGGGTACGGGGGATGAGGTGGCTGATGGTGACGGAGGGGAAGGTCGAGTGGGGCAGGGGAAGATGAGGGGCCTGATGCTGACGGAGGGGAAGGTCGAGTGGGGTAGTCGGGGTACGGAGAGACGATGCTGGTTCCGCGGCCGCAGCCGGACGTTGTATCGGTTGACGTCATGTTTGACGAGCGTTGCGTGGGTGCTAATGCTGCGAATGGCGTCACGGCAGCGTGAAATTCTCGTAACTGACCACACCAGGGTGAGTCATGTTCGCGGAAGCCCCATGCAATTCTCCACGTTCAGTGTTGCTGTGATCTTTTAGCTTGAATGTCACTAGGTTTCTTTGAACTGGCTTGGGCAGTTCTGGGTGCTGACTGCGTCTTCGGTAGATCAATAGAAGAGCGCAGGCAATAACATTACTTGTCGTGCGGTACTCAGTGGCGGATCAAGGGGGGGGGAGTGTCCTCCCCCTTGGGCTGAAGGGGCACCACAAGTTTTGGTCCACATAACTATTACGTTAAAGACGCACCGAAGTGCAGGGGTACCACAAACAGCGCCAAATCGTCAACTTCAACATGAAGATGATATTAAATTGAACTCTTGAAATAGAGTACGCTAAATCCGGCACACCAGTCCGGGGCAAGATGTTTTACCGACTGAATTATCGATTGAAAAATAGGTATGAAAATGAAGTGGGCGATAACCGGGGACATCTTCGTGAGGGGGTCACCAAGTTCCAGGTGTCAATGCCTCCAACCTCAATGAAATGTGGTTCTTCCCTTGACGAAAGGCTGGATATATCCTTGGTGGTATTAATATAGTTACAAATTTACGAAAATGCACGTGGTGAAAGAAAGATCAATGGCGTTTTTTAAGTCTGGAAATGCAGCGTGCACCCATTTCCGGGGATAAGAAATAATTCCGTTGTGTACAGTGACAGGCCTCGTAATCCACATTGGTAAAGTGAACGCAAGTTGAAGATCAGAAGTCGTTTAAAGGCCATTGATGCACGGTATTATTATGATGCTTTGCGTATAATTACCCTGTCAAAAATTGTTTTCTTTCTCCGACCCTACGTTTTCACCTCACTCAAACGCTTTTTGTTTAGGGGCACACGGCCTCCATAAGTTACTCTTCACACATTACAAGACGTGCGTAACAGTATCAGTCTCCTCTTTGAAACGGACACTTCAACACCATTAAAGTGCAATACTTTAATGATGCTTTGCGTATTACAAGCGAAAAAATTAAGCGCTTGAACTCATTGATGTATTGACAGCTTTACTGGACCAGTTCTGACGAAGATAGTTAAATACTCCGCCAGTTTTGTCGAAGGTAGTTCGCAGTCATGAGGCCTGGGAATGATTCAGTGGTGCTGCCCTTCTCATTTCGCGCCCGCGGGTTCTACCTTTGGCAACTTAAACACTGCCGGTTGACTCTCCTAGCCAAATCCCTGAGCCCTGTGCTTCAGGGAGTCCCTCGTAGAGCCGTCATCAGCGTGGGAACCCACTTTCCCTAATATAAGTGCTGACCACACGCCAAATCTTAGCTTTTAACCCTTTGGACAAGAGGATGGGGTGTTTGTTCTCACCAAAGTGAGAAATAGTTGAGTCCACCTCTCGCCCTTAGCAGACCTTCATCACCTAACAATGAATAAAGCTTTCATCTGTGTTACCTCTTGAGGAACGGCTGACCCTGGTTGAACACATTTACGTCATCGGGATGCGCCCTGAGCTGTTTCCAGCTTTAAGGTACCAGCCACATCGGCTGAAATCGAACGCAGGTGCCACGACACGGACCGAGCGAGAGGTCCAGGCTACCTGAGGCATCTGTGCCTCCTCGAGACATTCCGCCACTTACATCTGTGCCTCCTGTGAGACACTCCGCCACTTACATCTGTGCCTCCTGTGAGACACTCCGCCACATCTGTGCCTGCTCGAGACACTCCGCCACTTACATCTGTGCCTCCTGTGAGACACTCCGCCACATCTGTGCCTGCTCGAGACACTCCGCCACTTACTGCGCCGACCCTCTCCCACCAGGACACAACGTCAGCCACTGCCCCAGTGAACCATCAGGGGCTTTTCACCTGTTCTGCCAACACGACGCGGACTGTCAGATCAGCACGATTCAGTGCACCAGAGCAGTGCACCCAATCTGAGGCCGCGTCAGCAGCTGGACTTCCTTCGCCCGGTTGTAGACAAATGGCTTCCAGCGCTGTCGGCGTTACCAGATCCAGTTGAGAGAGAACACCCACAGCGGTGAGATCCCGCTACCATGGGCTCTGTTCAACGGCAAACAGGAATATCGTCTCAGCCGGAGCGGTTCGCGGCAAAGAACACCGCACGTGCGGCTAGCAGACAGCCCAGTAGCTCCAGACGAGGGGGGGGGGGGGTATTCTTTCAGCGGTGTGACGCGACTCTTAAGCGTTAGCAGGCACACCGCCGCTCCGTATCCCCTGAACGAGGCGTCTGGTATAGCACACAGCTCCAGGCTCGAGGTCTCAGATTACCCGGTCGGCGGCAGGTAATCTGATCAGCGCGGAATCAGCAGCTGCTTCGTCGTATCAAAACCTCGCCACCAGTATGAAACACACGAGACTGTTCGTCAGGGATGACTTCCTCCCACGCCAGTCCCATTTGCCACAGCTCCTGAAACAGACAGACACAATTGCCACGAGGACCAGCGTCAGCGGCCGGTTTGGTCGAGTAGCCGGGCCAAAAGCGCCCGGCACCACCCTGGTAAGAAGAAGTCCTTGGTATAGGTCAGTGTCAGGTCACTAGGGTCAGTGTCTCTACTTAGAGTTCTCTGGGAAGCCACTGGACGCCCAGCACCTTTACTGACTCTCCCATGGTGCCGGACCGTGCCTGTTATCTCAATCGAACACGCGTCCATTGATGGAGTGGCGCTTCGCTAGCAGCATCCTCGCGGGTACCATGACGCGCTGCGCATCTACCAACGTGACTTGCGCCTCCTCCGCCGCATCAGCGCCCGTCAACCAATTGCCAGTATACAACATTACCTCTTATCTCACTGACCTGGCACGAGGAAGTGTACGGTGAAGATGGTGATGAAGAATGACGTTCAAGAGCGAGTGATTTCACGCGACCCCACTCGTCACCAACACACAGGATTTTGACACACAGGACTTTGCTACGGTTACTAGGTTTGGTTCGTTACAGCGCTCACTCACACGTTGCAACGCCTTACAAAAATACTCTTAGAGGCGATGCTACAAAATACTGTTTGGCAGTATCGTATCGTATTCTTCGGTTTGTAACTATGAAATACGACATTACGAAACATGCGATAAAGCATACGTTGAAATACGGTGCTATAAGATACGATGCGAAAACATATGATGCTATGAAATACATACAGAGTTGAGCAATGAGTCCAACGAATGTCTCAATTTGACAGCAGAATGTGTCAAACCCAGAGTAAACAGACAAAGGTGGATCGAAATAAATTGTAAACACGTGAGATCCGTATTGACATCCAGAGATCGTGCATGCAATTACATATGGCGTACACAATCACACAGGTAGCCAGCATGGGCATGACCTAAGGCGCATGATCAAACACTTGCGTTTTGAAATGTGAGTTTTTAATACTCCACGGATGAAGAGATAATGATGGTCGGAGGTGTGCGGTTCGAAGCTGCCGCGGCACAATAAGAAAAGGCCCGCTCGGTGGCTTTCAATCGGCACCAGAGCAGGTGGATACATTGACATGGAGAAGCGCGTCTCCCTCAGGGAAACAAGGGAGCGGGCCTTGAAAAGAGATTGGACGTTGGGGGGCTATTCCTTGCATTGTAGCACTTCGGGCACTTTCAGTACGTTCCTCTCTCTTACCAAGTCATCAATCCGGAGACAGTATAGAGACTCTAGAGTCGGTGTTATACGCTGGCTGTGTTTCATTCCAGAAGTAATCCTGGGGAAATATATAGCTTTCGTAATACTTTGCGCACCTGGACTTGACCTCACCACTCTACACGCATAGAGAGCAAGATATATGTGGAAAACGTAGTATTCGATATAAATTTTGAAAACATCAGGCGTTTGAAAACATCAGGTCTGAGGTGGTACGGCGAGATTAGAATTTCGTCACATTCTTGCATAGTGAAAATCACAGGTTTTCTTTAAATTATGTTTTGAATCTGAGAACAAGGTCTGTTTTGTCTCTGTTCATTTCCAGTGGGCTTGCTCTGAACCAAGCCTCAAGTTCGCACATTAATATTTACAGACAATGTTTTAGCGCGTCGAGATGCTTCTTGTTGGGAGGAGCGTGGTCCACGAGCTGAGTGTCATCTGCGTATGAGATGAAGCGTCCACGTAACAGGCAACTGGGTAAGTCGTCTGTGAATGGGGCAAACAATAGCGGACGGACTATGGAACCCTGTGGCGCCCCGTGGGTTACCGGTAGGGTTGTCAGTCCTCCACGCACCACCTGCCTCCGACCAATCAAATAGCTTTTGAATCAATCAGGATCCGTGCCGTACCACGGAAGCTGTGTTGTAAGGAAACCATGATGACCGCCGTCGAAAACCTTGGATAGGTCGACAGCCGTCAGCGAAGATATCTCTCCGTTGCGATGCTCGTCACCAGCTCTGCGATAGCGTCGAGAAGAGCGTCCTTATTACAGTGACCTTGCCGGTAGGCATATTGAGCAGGGCTGAGAATACCATTGCTGTGGAGATACGTCCTCAGTTTGCTGTCATTGTCGCTGTGGCTTGCTGCAGCGACTTTTTCAAGAACTTAGGATAGCACACTTAAGAGAGGCTATTTATATAAGAGAGACTAGAGACTAAGAGAGACTAAATATGGGACTATCGTAAACTGGTACAGTCAGATCGCCTGATTTCAGGATGGTGCCACACACGCAACTTTTCCCTCGTCGGAGAACACCCAGGTTGCGAGGGGCACTTGATGATCCGCAGGAGATGCGGACAGACTGCAGGGAAGCACCGACACACTGCTATTATCGTTACGCCGTCCACACCACCGCTCTCGAGCTGCTCATCCGCTGGATCGATGAAAATAGTCCAGGGAGAGTAGCGGGCTTAAAAGTGAAGTGAGTGGTACAGACAGCTGGCGGTCTGGTTGGCTGTCCGGTGCTCCCCTCGGTGTGGCGGTAATCCGGGACCCAACCATTGTGAATCGACGGTTGAACCCGTCAGCCAGATCAGGGATTCCTTCCAACAGAGCTTCTCGGTTTGCTGATGGCTTCGCGTTGAAACGTTTGAAAGTAGGTAAAAAAAATTGCCTGCCACGAAAAGTCATCACAGCACAGAAGTTACGTCTAGCAGCGGTCCTGCTCTCATTCCTGGTGAGGTTCGCACGCAGCACCACAACTCCCTGCCAGACCAGACACTCCCATTGCGCTTACCTCCTCGCGCTCGCTGCTCTGCGTTTCTGGTCGTGACCTGGCCTCGCGGCAGCTCCGCGCTCGCTGGACACGGGCGCTAGACCCGCTCTGACCTCCGGGAGGAATTCTACAACCTCAGGGTGGACAAAAAACTATGTTGGCAAAGTCTATTTGGCGATGAGATCGCGGATGACCACCGTACCCTGCCGGCGGCTTCGCCTCGCAATCTGAAGCACAAAGAAGAGAGGTGAAAAACCTGGGAGGGCTCGCCGCTGCACGAGCTGTTTTCCCGCATGACCCTGGCCAACTAACGTTCATCGCCACTCGACATGGGCTTTCCAGTACCAGCCTTGACATTTTCATCACCGCGGGGCATTTTCGTTTTGACATTTCCGTCATGGCGGACATTGACGGCCGCACGGATTCTGGCACCGCTTGCATGCAGCAGCGGAGAAATGCCGACTGGTATAAAGTCACATCACAGACGGCTTGCACGTGATCGCGCCTCGTGCTGCAGAGCCCAGGACCTTGAGCCGGATTGATCAGTGCCTTGAGCCGGATTGATCAGTGGCTTGAGCCGGATTGATCAGTGCCTTGAGCCGGGTTTATCAGTGCCTTGAGCCGGATTGATCAGTGCCTTGGGCTGGGTTTATCAGTGCCTTGCGTCGGATTGATCAGTGGCTTGAGCCGGATTGATCAGTGGCTTGAGCCGGATTGATCAGTGCCTTGAGCTGGGTTTACCAGTGCCTTGAGCCGGATTGATCAGTGCCTTGGGCTGGGTTTATCAGTGCCCTGAGCCGGATTGATCAGTGGCTTGAGCCGGATTGATCAGTGGCTTGAGCCGGATTGATCAGTGCCTTGAGCTGGGTTTACCAGTGCCTTGAGCCGGATCGATCAGTGCCTTGAGCTGGGTTTATCAGTGCCTTGAGCCGGATTGATCAGTGGCTTGAGCCAGATTGATCAGTGGCTTGAACCGGATTGATCAGTGCCTTGAGCCGGGTTTATCAGTGCCTTGAGCCGGATTGATCAGTGAATTGAGCCGGATTGATCAGTGACTTGAGCCGGATTGATCAGTGACTTGAGCCGGATTGTTTTTAAAACCACCGCCGGACGCACGATCACTAAACAAATCCTTTTGCATCATAATGAATCTTTTACGAATACTTTCGGTTTAGTTAAGCTTTGTTACCGATGCACAATGCATTCCGGGCGGCAGTTAGCATAGCATCCATTTTTGACAAAGCGTGACATATTCTTCATATCATATCTTGTTCCGTGACTGATGCGGCCGACTGACAGGGGGCCACCTCAACGATGCCGGGTGATAGTGGGCCACATGAAGTATAGCTGTTTCAGGAATGTACAGAATTTTGAGATACATATAGCATGGGCTCTGAATAATCGCAGAATGAAAGCAAAATTTATTTCAAGATAAAAGCTCAACACCAGAAACTTTCTGTTGCGCGTTTTTGCTGCACTTATTACACCGTCACAGAATGCGACGCTGGCGACCCTCTGGCTTTACCAGTGGTGAAACACTCGTTACCATGGACGTAACCAACCTTTAAATGTCACTGTGGCTTGTTTCTGTATTCCCATTTCCCCAAATGTCAGTGGAGTTTGGACCCACCCGACCTTAGTGGTGGTTGTGCCATGCGTGTTACAAACCATGATATCACGGGGGCTGCATTCGCCTTGTGTCCTGGCTGTGGACAAACGAAATAAATATTATGTCAAGTTAAGTATTCCTGCTATTTTGGACCCCTGTCATTATCCTGTAGCTTGTTCTTGTCGGTATCGCCAGCTAAAATCGCTGCTCGGCAATCATGTGAACTGCTGCGTAAGCCTGATGTCAAGGTGCCAAAGGTGAAGGCTTCGATATACCAACTTGTCTAAGGTACGGCATCTATTAAGGCACGCGTTTGTCAGCTTGGCTTCCTCCCATCGCCGCTCTCCCCTGTACTCAGGGCAAACAACCTGCCTGGAAGCGAAATGGTCCGGGAATCGCAGCATCGCCAGATCATTCGTACATCAGCCGTAGGGCCTAGCATTAGCCTACGACAGCAGCCATCTCGCAGCTAAGCTCAGTGCTCAAAAGCGTGCTTCGTTGCCGGCAGGGTCTCCGACTGCGGAAGCAGCGCAGCACGGGAGACCTCGAGAAGCGCGGCACCGGCAGCAGCATCCGCTCCACCAACAGCAGCGTCTCCTGGATGAGCACCGACTCGAGCAAGTCGCACATGACCAACGGCAGCTTCCACACTGAGTCCAACGGCAGCTTCGTGGTTGAGGTAAGCGATGGGCGCGGTCGGTCATACTTATGTAAGACAGCAGTTAGTCATGCTCGGTCCCTAGAAACCGCCCGTGGCATGATAATTGATAAGCAAATTGAAGGTAAGCATGCATGAGCGTCCAAGGTCTGACAGAGGATACGACATTGGAGGGGAAAAAGCTTACTTGATATCAGGAAGGGAGGCGTTCACCTCCTGGTTTCTCTCCATTTTGAGTCGAAAGTTGTTATGCCGAGTTAACGAGCGTGATCATATCAGGAGATACTGGCTTTACGACGTTATAATGCTACACAACGATTGCACTGGTAGTGCTCGATATTTAGAGCTGTGCTTATCCTCAAGATATTGGGACGTGCTGGGCTCTCTTGAGGATAAGCACAAATCAAAATATTGAGTACCGCCAACATAATCGCTGTTTAGCACTATAACGTCGTTAAACCAGTACATCCTGGTATATTGGAGGCCGTTAACCCAGCATTAGAACTCAAGTTCACAACATATGAACTAAAGCACATAAGAATTATTACAAATTTAGGTTGGTTCTAAACACATTATGTGCACATAACCATCCGTGCGTTCGCATCAAGGTCGCAACGTTCGGATACACAGTTTTCGCAAAAGTCGAACATAAGAACATACAAATGTCATGCAAGAGTTGACGACTTAGAACTGGAGCTCGTAGAGATGTCATGAATGAGTCAGCGGGTCAGAACACGAACACGTGGCGATGCCATGCATGAGTCAGCACATAAGCACTTTACGGTAGCTCCAGGAGTCAGAATGTAAACATTCGGTCGCCACGGGAGTCAGAAATCTGCGATGCATTCCTCAAGGGCGCCAGATGTATCGAACGTCAGAACCCAACCAAAACACCGCCGCCGGCCTTGTGCTCACGACGTGGACTCACGCCGCCATGTCACTTATCGACGCCTTTTTCGGGTTATCACTCCAGAGCCGGCATTGCGAACGGGAGGTTCGCCAGGGTCTTGGCCCATTCCACCTAACCTCCGCTTCAGACCAAGCCCCCGCCCCCTCCCCGATCGTCGGAGTATCCGCGGATTCCGCAAAGCACGCCTGCGACAGAGTGGAGCAAAGCCTCACATCTGAGCGGGTGCCGGAGCTCCGCTGCGCAGCGAGTCGGCTGTTGGCCACGGCGGTACCTTCACAGCCCGCCGGCGCGCCCCGGCGCGCAGCACTAATGGCGCACACGCCGTCTGGCCGACGCAGCTGTGAACGCACCGCGCCGCGGGCCGACGCCGCCGTCGGCGCGGGTCGCCTGCCGTCCTCCGACGGCCGGGGCCGGGCCGCCTGCCGTCCTCCGACGGCCGGGGCCGGGCCACCTGCCGTCCTCCGTCGGTGCCGGCCGCCTGCCGTCCTCCGACGGCCGGGGCCGGGCCGCCCGCCGTCCTCCGACGGCGCGAGCCGCCCGCCGTCCTCCGACGGCCGGGGCCGGGCCGCCTGCCGTCCTCCGTCGGTGCCGGCCGCCTGCCGTCCTCCGACGGCCGGGGCCGGGCCGCCCGCCGTTCTCCGACGGCCGGGGCCGGGCCGCCTGCCGTCCTCCGACGGCGCGGGCCGCCCGCCGTCCTCCGACGGCCGGGGCCGGGCCGCCTGCCGTCCTCCGACGGCGCGGGCCGCCCGCCGTTCTCCGACGGCCAGGGCCGGGCCGCCTGCCGTCCTCCGACGGCGCGGGCCGCCCGCCGTCCTCCGACGGCCGGGGCCGGGCCGCCTGCCGTCCTCCGACGGCGCGGGCCGCCCGCCGTCCTCCGACGGCCGGGGCCGGGCCGCCGCCGTCCTCCGACGGCCGGGGCCGCCGGCCGCCGACCGGACGACGGCGGGCACCGTTTATCCCCGGGTGGGAGCGGGCGCCGTGTCGTAAACGATCACAGCGGGCCGGAAAGTCCCGCGGCTGGTCGGAAAGGGCGCCAGTCTCCGGGTGTGCACCTGGCGTCGCCGGCGGCGGACCTATTGTCGCTCTACGTCATCGCCCGGTATTTTTACCGGCTTGCGTCACCACTGCGTCAACAGATCAACACGCCGCCGCGCGCTTTGGCCTGCTCATTGACTCGTGCACGTTGTTTACACAGAGACACCGTCGTGTCGCGCGTTCAGGCACGCGCAAGGTATTTTCGTCCGCGGCTCTTTGGTCGATCATCCACTTAGTCCCGCCCGTGTCACGCCGACTCGGCCTTCCGGTCCCCGTCACGCTCCCGTCTGGGTCCACTTGAGAAAGCGCTCGGCCTCTCTTCACTCTTCTCCGGCATCGCGGACGTGACCGTCTCATTCCAAAGCACCTGGAGACTGCTTAGCAAGAACAGGGCACTGATGTGTGCATCTAATTAGACGCAGGCCGGGACCGATGAAGCGTGCGCTGGTCAGCTGGGAGAGGCAATCTAGCGGGAAAATTGCTAGCTTCGTCTGAGATAGGGATTACGGGCCATCGCTGAGGCGAGGTGAAGTGAGGCGGGGGGTGAACTGTCACGCCAACTGATGTCACCCGTCAGGTGAGGTGTGTTTGTCACCTGAGGTAAGGCGAGGAGCGAACTGTCACGCCAACTGATGTCACCCGTCAGGTGAGGTGTTCGTCACCTGAGGTGAGACTTCAAGGAATGAAGGCTCGTTCACTGAGGTCAGGCCAAGTGGAATGTAGGCTCGTCAACTGAGGTGAGACTTCAAGGAATGAAGGCTCGTTCACTGAGGTCAGGCCAAGTGGAATGTAGGCTCGTCAACTGAGGTGAGACTTCATGAAGTGAAGACTCGGCGCGGTGCTGTGGAGGTGAGACAGCTGTGTCAGGCTCATCAGCCGAGGCGAACCGTCAGCGACACTGTGGAGGTAAGACAGCTGTTTCAGGCTCATCAGCCGAGGCGAGCCGTCAGCGGTACTGTGGAGGTAAGACAGCTGTGTCAGGCTCATCAGCCGAGGCGAGCCGTCAGCGGTGCTGCGGAGGTAAGACAGCTGTGTCAGGCTCATCAGCCGAGGCGAGCCGTCAGCGGTACTGTGGAGGTAAGACAGCTGTGTCAGGCTCATCAGCCGAGGCGAGCCGTCAGCGGTGCTGCGGAGGTAAGACAGCTGTGTCAGGCTCATCAGCCGAGGCGAGCCGTCAGCGGTACTGTGGAGGTAAGACAGCTGTGTCAGGCTCATCAGCCGAGGCGAACCGTCAGCGGTGCTGTGGAGGTAAGACAGCTGTGTCAGGCTCATCAGCCGAGGCGAGCCGTCAGCGGTACTGTGGAGGTAAGACAGCTGTGTCAGGCTCATCAGCCGAGGCGAGCCGTCAGCGGTACTTTGGAGGTAAGACAGCTGTGTCAGGCTCATCAGCCGAGGCGAGCCGTCAGCGGTACTGTGGAGGTAAGACAGCTGTGTCAGGCTCATCAGCCGAGGCGAGCCGTCAGCGACACTGTGGAGGTAAGACAGCTGTGTCAGGCTCATCAGCCGAGGCGAGCCGTCAGCGGTACTGTGGAGGTAAGACAGCTGTGTCAGGCTCATCAGTCGAGGCGAACCGTCAGCGGTGCTGTGGAGGTAAGACAGCTGTGTCAGGCTCATCAGCCGAGGCGAGCCGTCAGCGGTGCTGCGGAGGTAAGACAGCTGTGTCAGGCTCATCAGCCGAGGCGAGCCGTCAGCGGTACTGTGGAGGTAAGACAGCTGTGTCAGGCTCATCAGCCGAGGCGAGCCGTCAGCGGTGGCGTGCGGCGCCTCACCGCGCCGCCCGCCACCGCCGCGCGTCGCTCGCCGTCGCCCCTCGATCACGTGCCGGCCGAGCCCTGACAGCCGGACCGCCGGCCCGTCACTTCCGGATTCCCCGGGCCGCTGATGGCGGCGAGCGGTAATGGGCGGTCAGGTCAGGAGCGGCCCAGCGCCGCTTATCCTGACCCCGCCGGATCCGAGCCGGTCGGTACCGCAGCTGGGTGTGGCGCGTCCCGCATTGACCGCGCGGCATGCTTCAGCCTGCGGTCAATGATAAATGGGACTCTGCTTTTGCGGCGCAGTTGCGTGTGATATTAAAGTCGCAACCAAAGCGTGCACTGCCTAAGCAATGTATGCCTAAGAGCAATATATGCTTACCAAACAGACACCGGGATGGTTCTTCAGCTGTCTGTGCTGTGGGAGAGAAGACAAGAATTACGAGAACTTCCTCTCTCAGAATGGACCATGTCCTAGTTGTAAAACGATGACTTTTCCTCTCTTTGTCCCGAACTGGCTTGTCCTAACCGTGTCAATCCGCACAGAATTAGTGCAAACGTAAGTGCTGTAACGCTGATGCACCAGTTTTGTACACATTCCGAAGATAGCCTTGTACTCATAGTTTTTGGTCATAACGTACCTACACTGCAAGAGTGGCTACAGCTGGAAATGGCAATTCGCTGGGCATATGGGCCTCCTCCGCCGCCACCGTTGTGAAATGGCTCCTTTCCGTCGACAGGACGAGCAGATGGACAGCAACACCACCGAAACGTACATGGGCGAGTGGAAGAACGACCGACGCGTTGGCTACGGCGTGTGCGAGCGATCCGACGGCCTCAAGTACGAGGGCGAGTGGTACAACAACAAGAAGTACGGCTACGGCGTCACCACCTTCCGCGACGGCACCAAGGAGGAGGGCAAGTACAAGAACAACGTCATCATCACGTCCAACAAGAAGAAGCACCTGTTCCTCATCCGCTCGGCCAAGTTTCGGGAGCGGATCGAGGCGGCCGTGAATGCCGCCAACCGCGCCTCCAAGATCGCCCTGCAGAAGGCTGACATTGCTATATCCAGGTGAGTCTGGCTGACTGCGGTCTGACAGACTGTCGTCTGGCTGACTGCGGTCTGACAGACTGTCGTCTGGCTGACTGCGGTCCGACAGACTGTCGTCTGGTCTTCGGCTGATCGACAGCAGCACGCGTCTGGCCGAATGTCTCAGGTACGCACGCCACAGCGAACAGCAAGCGCAGCGTGTACGATACAGTTGACAGAAAGCACAGCGCGTACGACACGGTTAACAGCAAGCACAGCGCGTGCGAACTGCCGATGCGAGCGCCGCGTTTGTACGGAGCGATTAAACCGGTGCAAAAGAGAAGCAGGCTACAGGCCAAAACCATCACATCGCACTGAGTATTGCAGACCAACCGCACTTATACGCAGGCACTTAACTGATAATGTAACTCCGTATATGTATTGTAATCTAGTGATCTACGCACTTAAAGTGGCAGTGTCCCACCTTTTTGTACTTCTCACTTATGGTTGCGCGAGACGCCTACGGTTTGATCAGCAACACCAGTTTCCTCGAAAAACTTCTGAATAATTTGAAATTCTGATTTGAAGTAGACGACTCTGCGGAGGGAATTTAATTTGACTCCCAGCTCACCACTGTGAAAGTAATACTTTTCATTTGTCGTGCTTTTTTCCAACGTGCCTGCTCTGCAATTTTTGCAAGACCCTGATGTGTCAAAATGTTTATGCGATAAATCCTACGAAAGCTTGAAAACTCTGTTCAGAAAAGAAGACATGGGAACATGAAGTTATTATCCCGCGAATTCACCGAAACGTTGTACTATGGCTTTCGTTTCCCCCTATCGCTTTTATCACAGTGGCTCTTTTCGAGGCGCACTTTGGCTTTGGGAATGGAAACATCATATGATTCATGTGACGCACTGATTCAAGCTTCAACCAACTAACTTCTCGGTAGCAGGCCCGTGCTCACTAAGCAAATCCCAAACGTTCTTTTATTCACACCAGTAGAGGTGTGCGCGGGGGTTGTCGTGACGACGGTGGGTCGCGACTGCAGGGAAGAAGCGTGTTGCTGTTACAAAACGTTGACAGCGTAATTAGAACTCGAAAATAAGCAAGATTGATATCCCTATTATAGTTTGGCATTGCTCCATTGGCACTACTCAGTGTTATTATTACACGCAACCAATCGTGAGGTTTCACTATGGTGCGTTTTTTTTACTTTGTCTCAAAGGTGGAAGACTCATTATCAATTTTTTTTAAAGTTTTGCGGAACCTTTTTTCACCTTTTAGGAATCTGATGGGCAAGATTTCGGTGTCACCTACCGGCGGATGGTAGAAAATCCGCACCAGCGCACCGCCGCTGGTGCGGATTTTCTTGGTGCGGACAAGGACTTCCACCGAACAGAGCGGTGGAAGTCCTTACGACGACGGTGGTAACAGGACGGTGGCCTGGGCTTATAATGCCAGAACTTCCCTGGCGGACGCCAGCAAATGTCGGCTTGTGTTGAATGCATTGATAGCTGGACTCGATGTCGGGGAAAGTCAGACTGTGCGGATCTAGGCCGGCACTCATATTCTTAGCATCATGCACTGGTGGCAGTACGATACCGGTACCACCGTCTTTCTAAACAAACCTGCATCTCTAAAATATGGTCTTACTTGTATTGACGTATCAATATTCAAATAGGCGTCGCGAAACTGACGGTGCAACAAGGCTATGAACTACTGAAAGGACAACATAGAGCCACGTTTTTCAAGTCGCAAAGCCGTTTCAGTGTAATCCGGAAACGAATGTCTGGACCTATGGTGTAATTTCAAGGCACTGTTCCTCTTGCCGCCCAAAGCGCACAGCCCTGCCTACCTTATTACGGGCACCGCCATTTTTCGACAACGGCCGGCTGAATAGCTTTGAAATTGGAGTCTGGGAAACTTGATTAGGGTTGGCAGCCTGGAAATGGCAGTGCCTCACTCGTTCTCGGAGCGCGTGGGTTTTGGACTCGAAGAGGCGGCATACCAAAACAAACTTATCAGGTTCATGATAAATGCCCCATTTCTCTTAGCATGCAGCCAACGTTAAAAATGTGGTAGGTTTAGCATGAACTTATGACTATTTATACGCAGTGCATTGGCTGAGACGTTTGGACATTCCCTTTCTACGGTGCACGGGTTTGATCCCCGGTTGTACCAAGGCCGCTGAGCGATAATATGACTTCTGTAGTCACGGGCGTGACACGTAGAATGCTCGACGATGGGCGTCGTGTTCCCTTGAAAATAAAAACCGGTGCAAACATCTTGCCAGTTACCTACAAACTGCCAAGTTTTCTAACTTTTCGAATAACTCCGCATGCCCTGCAGGATGGAGTAGCAAATAAAGGAGCTCAGCTGTATGGAGCCGAGGTTTTAGAACGTCAAGTAGCGTCTGCCTAAACCTGGTCAGCTGACCGATGTCAGCTGGGCCTCTGTCATCTGGGCGCCCTGGTCGTCTGCGATGAATGCTCGTCCCATCTTCGTCTGGTGGATATCTGTCTGGTTAGGGTCGTCTGGTTGGCAGCTGCTCAAGCTGTGACCATCCGGTGGACTCTCGTTATGGTCGTCTAGTGGCCATCTGCTTTAGTCATGGTCACCTGGTAGACATCTGCTCGGCGTTGTGGTCATCTGGTGACGTCTGTTCTTGTCATGGTGGCCTGGTGGGATTCTGGTGGGGTTATGGTTGCCCGCTAAGCCTCTGTTAGGAGTAATGGTCGTATGGTGAACCTCTACCTGCCGGGGTTATGGTTGGTGGTCGTCTATCGGGTTATGATTTCCTCGTGGACGTCTGGTAGGTTATGGTTGTCTAGTGGACCTCTGCCGGTCTATCTCGTCTAGTGAACCTCTGTCGGGTTTATTTGTTTTCACCTGATGGATTTCTACTGGGGTTATGGTCGTCTGGTAGACGTCTGCCGGGACTATAGTCGTCCGGTGAACGTCTGCCGGATTATGGTCCTCTTGTCGACCTCTGTCGGGTTTATGGTCGCTTGGTGGACCTCTGTCCGGTGCATGGTCGTCTGGTGGACTTCTGCCGGGTTATGCTCGCCTGATGAACCTCTGCCGGGGTTATGGTCGTCTGGTGGACCTCTGCTGCATTTATGGTCGTTTGGTGGATCTCTCTCGGGGTAAAGGTTGTCTGTTGGACCTCTCCCGTGGTTAAGGTCGTCTGGTGGACCTCTCCCGTGGTTAAGGTCGTCTGGTGGATCTCTGTGCCGGGGTTGTGGTCGTCTGGTGGACCTCTCCCGGGGTTAAGGTCGTCTGGTGGACCTCTCCCAGGGTTAAGGTCGTCTGGTGGACCTCTCCCGTGGTTAAGGTCGTCTGGTGGATCTCTGTGCCGGGGTTGTGGTCGTCTGGTGGACCTCTCCCGGGGTTAAGGTCGTCTGGTGGACCTCTCCCGGGGTTAAGGTCGTCTGGTGGATCTCTGTGCCGGGGTTGTGGTCGTCTGGTGGACCTCTCCCGGGGTTAAGGTCGTCTGGTGGACCTCTCCCAGGGTTAAGGTCGCCTGTTGGACCTCTCCCGGGGTTCAGGCCGTCTGGTGGACCTCTCCCAGGGTTAAGGTCGCCTGTTGGACCTCTCCCGGGGTTAAGGTCGTCTGGTGGACCCCGCCCATGCTTAAGGTCGTCTGGTGGACCTCTGCTCGGCCGCTGTGCCGTGGCACTGATTGGACGGCGTCGCGTCGGCCGGCGGCCCTGTTTAGTGTTGGCAGCGGCCCCGGCCGGGCCAGACGCGGGCTGGCCGCACAGTGGCGGCCAAATCTGGCCAGACAAGTGGCGACAGCCCGACCCAGCCCACTGCCCACCGGCGGCATGACTGGCCCGGCCAGCTCACTGCCGTCCCGATTATGCCGTGCCGTGCCATGCCGTGCACACGCGTGGTGACAATGCCATATGCAGCTCGGTGGCACAATGCGTAACGCTCCGGACGATGAAAGGGACGAAGACATGTCCAGTCGTGTCAAGTCCTTTAATTGCTCGCATGAAGGCGTTAGCATTGTGCGGGGCATCTATGCTTTATGACTATTTGGTGTTCGTGTGATAAAAAACGCGCTGCGTGATAAGCCATCAAATATCGGATATTCCACTGTACCCAGCCGGCAGACGATTTTTTAAAAAAAATCAGTTTGTCTACAAAATTGGCACGACCAATTCACAAGATGGTGGTAACACCGCGAGTTGAAACGTTCGCAGCGCCGGCGGTGAATGTTTTGGTCAGGACCGGTCTGCTCTGCCCACCAGTTGTGCTGCCAGATGGTTCCGCCCAGTTTTGGCGTCGGTACCGCTGTCCGTCCGCCGTTTTGGTCAGGCCCGGTCTGCTCGGTTCGCTAGCTGTGCCGCTGATCGTTTTGGTCAGGCCGGACTGCTCCGTCCACTGGATGTGCTGCCAGATGTCTCCGGTCAGTTTTGGCGTCGCTACCGCTGTCCATCCGCCTTTGCTCCTGGGTCCATGTCGGCTGGCGGCTTGGAACTGAACGGCTGTCTAGACCGTTCCTCTGCGTCCTAACCTGTTGTCTGCACTGCTGGGCAACTCCGGCGAGGTAGTCATATTTGCGAGCGACTCAAGCGGGCTAAATCCCGTCTCGGGTCTCACGTCTGGTAGCGGTCGTGCCGGGTAGCTCTGGCGCGGTGCTGCCGAGGCGTCCGGTGCTGTTCGGTCACTCTGACTGGGTCTTTTAGGACGTGCCGGGCAGCTTTGGCGCGGTGCTGCTGAGGCGTCCGGTGCTGCTCGGTCACTCTGACTGGGCCTTTGTAGGTCGTGCCGGGCAGCTGTTGATCCTGATTCTAGCTCTGGATCTATCTGTATAACCACATACATATCAAGGTATTTGGCACATCTTTTAATTACATTTAGCTTTGACGGCTCCCGCCTTCTTCGCTGTAGATGTTGCTGGGATGCTCTCGTATGGCGTGTGCGCTATTCGTTATCCTTTTCCCCATTCTCTTTTCCAACATCATTGGTCATTTTCGCACGGCACCACAACCTAACCTAACACAAGTCGCAAAGCACAACAAACTGATGAACAGTGATGACACACGCCGATGACAGTTGCTAGCAACACACTGCCGTTAAGAAGTGCAGCACCGAGACCAATTAGAAGGAAGTTTTTGTTTGAACTGAACGAATCGCTACAATTGTGCGCGTGCCACGGCCACACACATCACGAGCAAGCAAGTGTAAAGCCACACACGAGCCGAGCCAATCTGCCTTCCTCAGTTAAAGGCGCGACAATGCCGAAAACACGCCGCTGTTTTCATCATCACGCGCGTTGAAAGACGTCAGTCTGTATCAATATTCACCAGCGATTGCCACAGGGCCGCCCTGGCCTGGCCGGCAGTGCTGGGTGCGGACGGTCGACATCTTGTACCTGAATTCCGGGGCGGCTCCCGTCCTGAATCCGCGCTCGCCGGCGGCTCTGGCTTGCGGTGACGCCACCTCACGATCAGGCCGCCTGCCAGCCTATTGTTGTTGGCAGCGGGCGGACTAGCGGCGCTGCACAACTACTGACCAGCACAGCGCCCGCCGGCTGGACGCTGGTGTGCCACATGCTGGCCACGGAACGCGTGCCGCCGCGAGCTCGGTGACTCACATGCTGCACCTCACCCGCTGGCTCTGTGCGGGTGATCCACTGGCGCGAGCGAGGCGTCGACCAGTGGCTGCGCCGATGTCGCAGCGCGATGGCGCCCCGCCGCGGGGAAGTGATCCAGTGCCGGTTGATCCTAGCGCCTGCGGTTTGATGACGGCCCGTGAATCACAGGGGCAGACACACATTGGCCATTGGTAACGTCTAGCGTCATTCTTGTACGGTTTATCATGTCATGTCACAGAAATGGCATAGCCTCGCCAGAATGCACTGGATCCGGGCTGCGATGTCCCCATTGGTGGCCATCCAGCCGGCACTGCCGGTTTGACCCCGGTCGGACGTCTGGCCGCCCCGCTATTCAGCCGGCCGGGTAATGATTGGGCCGGGTAATGACCGCCCCCCAGTTCAGCCGGCCGGGTAATGATTGGGCCGGGTAATGACCGCCGCCCCCCCCCAGTTCAGCTGGCCGGGTAATGATTGGGCCGGGTAATGACCGCCCCCCCCCCCCCCCCCCAGTTCAGCTGGCCGGGTAATGATTGGGTCGGGTAATGACGGCCCAGTTCAGCCGGCCGGGTAATGCTTTGGCTGGGATTCTCAATCTGTTCTGGACCATATCCTAATATTTCTCCAAGAGGTCGGGGTATCTCGAGCGGTGTCCGAGCCGCCTGTGGCGAGTGTACGCAGGAGCGTCCAGGCCCGGTCGGGATTTCCCAGCATGTCCCCAAGTGGCCGTTTGGGGAAACTTTACCCGGACCGATTACTTGCCGCATGTGACTGATTTACGACAAGTGCTTCCTATGCCGACTGGGTGATGGTGATGATGACGGTGAGCATGCCCACGAGGGTGATAGTGATAATGTAGATGATCATGATGATAGTGATGATGATGATTCGGAGTTTTAAGGGGCGTCGACTACAAATGGTCACGCAGCGCCCATCCAAGCCCACTATGAAACTTGGACCCAAAATCTTCCCCAATCTTTTTTGACCTTCTAAAAAAAACCACCTGTTGCCCACACCCATGTCACCCGGACCGTGTAGCCGTGTCCCATGGCCGCCCAGCGGAGGTAACCAGTGACATGCGGCCGGTGTTCCCAGGACAGCGACGGCGCGAGGCAAGGCGGAGCAGGCGGACATCGCGGCCCTGCACTCCCGGGAAGACTCCGACATCGCCCGCATACACGCCAAACAGTTCGCTCCCGATTTCCACCAGCCAGGTAACTCGCGGCGCGCGCCCCCGTCCATTCGTCTTCCGCTGGCCCGTCTCCCTGACCGAGGCGTGCCGGTCGACGGGTGTTCTCCGCCGCGCCGCGAGCGCAGCACTTGGCACACGGGAAGAGAAGGCCGGAGCAGAGGCCACAACCTGACACAGCGCACACCACGACGCTGTCGACATTGTCCCTCTCACTGGCGCACAGTGCCGGCGAACGCCGCCAGCCGTTAGCTGCAGAGCGCACCGTCTCCCTCCCGCCTGGCTGGCCCTCCGGGGCGTCTCGACCAACCCGCGCCGGCCGGCCCGGCCGCCGGTAAACCGACTCCATTCCGGCGCTGTTACTCACGCCGCCCGCCGGTAAATAGGCGCGGCGCGACGACAATCGCGGCGGTTGTGGCGCGGCGGCCGTCTTCCGGTGTCGGCGGCCGTCGAGTCGGGGTCGGGTGGGGCCGGCGGCGGCTGCCGCGGACCGAAATAGCGCGGCCGGCGCGCGCCGTCGCCGCGCCGGCCGGCGGCGGGCTCCGGGCAACCCACCGACCACTGGGTGAGGTGAGGGCTCCTGCTGCAGAGGAGGCGCTCCGGAACGGGTCCTGGTACAGAGCAGGGACACTGCGACCGGTCCCGCTACTGAGGAGGCATTTCGGGACGGGTCCTGGTAGAAAGGCGTGATTCACGGACGGGAACTGAAAGCGAGGCGTGACTCAGGGACGGGTTCTGGTATTGGGAACGGACTCCCAGACGGGTACTAGCGCAGAGGTCGGGTACCGGGGCAGGTCCAGGAGGCATTCCACGACGAGTCTGGTGGGGAGGGGCATCGGGATAGGCCCGAGCACGTGTAGGGGCGTGGAGACGCCCCGTCGTGCTCCTTGGTGCAGACTTCGGCTCAGATCAATGCGGATGGAAAAGACTGTTACTTCATGTTGAGTAACAAGGGAGCAGATTGACAGCAGGATGTAACACCTGAACGGCGATCCATATCGGCATTGTTGCAAGGGTGCCGGCGTCGGTCGGTTAAATTAGGTCTACATCTAATTTTGTGACACCAGGGGACGCTTGACTCTCAGCAAAATAGGTTGTAATATTACTGTAAAAGGCAAAATGTTCCACAACATTGATTGACTCGTTCAAAAAGCATCAGGCGAGGTTGCACAGTTTTGTTGAAGGGCTGCACTCTCTACAAAATGGAGGGGAATGGGAAGGGACCGGAGGTCATCTTGGAGCCTCATCACCCTCGTGCAGGCAGCACCCTCCAACGGTAGCCGTTCAGTCTGACTCCTGGCAGTGTGACCTCTCTCTCACACACACACACACACACACACACACACACACACACACACACACACACACACACACACACACACACACACACACACACACACACACACACACACACACACACACACACACACACACACACACACACACACACACACACACACACACAACACACACACACACACGCACGCACGCACGCACGCACGCACGCACGCACGCACGCACACATCAGGCCAGTGTGGACTCTCAGCCAGACCCGACACCTCGTCGTCTCTCGCGGCCAAAACAGACCCCGACCGCGAGGTCTGGCAGGCTGGATGAAGCTTGAGCTTGTTCGAGAGGCCCGCCAGGCCAGGGGTGGCCAGTGTCGAGCGTGTTCCGCGCACCGTGTAGCCTCACGATGACACTGCATTGGCATACTGATGGTTTGCATTCTTAGATGCTGCGATTTCTAGTGTGTCACCTCAATTGAATCTTCTAGACCCTGCGCACTGTAAGTGTTCGGCAGTGCGCATGCTGAACACCAAACATCATCCATGGGACCTTTTCGGCTCTTGCATGCGCAGTCCTTACGAACTCGGAGCCTCGTCGGCCCAAAACGTCATGAATCATGAATCTCGTTGACTTTGAATGTTATGGCCCCCCAAGCTCACAAGTGTTGGTCGTCGCGAGGCCTCCGACGGTGGACACCGGGGACCCGGAGCCCCTGTTGAGCGCACGTGACCAGCCTGCCACACGCCGACCGGTCTACGGCTCACGGCGGCCGCCGGGCTTGCGCAGCGGCGCCGCAGGTGGCGCCACTGACCGGCCCCTCCCGCCGCAGGCTCGGACGTGGTGCGCTCGCGGCTGGAGGCGCGCGGCGGTGCCGCCAACATGAACACGCTCGGCCCGCCCAAGGCGCGCGACGAGAGCTCGTCGCACCAGCGCTCGCGCTCGCTGTACGTGCGGCCGCGCGGCGAGGAGGCGCCGCCGCCGAACGGCCTGCCGCCGGGCATGCCGACTACGCTGGATGGCGACGACAGCGAGCTGGAGCTGGCGGTGCCGGTGCGGCCTGCCGAGCCGGTGACTGTGGGGCCGCCGGCGCCGGCCGCCGCCGAGCCTGTCCTCACGCAGAACACGGCACGGCTCGTGTCCGGGCCGCCCGCCGCCGCCACCGCCCGTGAACGGCGCGCCGGCGGCGGCAGTGGACGAGACCGGCGACGGCGGCGACGGCCGGCCGCGCGGCCGCCACCTGGTGCGCGCCGCGGCGCGGCCGGCGCGCGCCAGCTCCCGCGGTGGCTCGGCCGGCGTGCAGTACCAGACCGCCATGAACGACCACTTCGACCACTACCGACGGGCGCCGAGCCGCGACAGCTCGGTGGACCGGTTCTGCCGGTCGGCGCGACAGACGCCGCAGCCGGAGCCGGCACGGCCGCCGGCCGAGCTGGCAGCGCGCGTGCGCTCGCCGTCGCGGCCGCGCCAGCTCGAGCGACCGCCGGACGAACCGCCGGGGGAGGAGGCGGAGCCGGCGGCCGGCGGCCGGCGCCAGACGCTGCCCAACCTGGCCGACGACACCGAGGTGGGCGGCCTCTTCATCCCGAGCACGGCCGAGGAGGCGGCGCGCATGCTGGCGCCACCGCCGGCCGGCGGTGTCAAGCGCACCGAGAGCACAGTCATCGCAGGCCCTCAGGGACGCCGCGGCGGCACGGTGAGAGGCGCCCCAGACGGCCGCTCGGGGGTGGGGTGGGGTGGGGTACGGAACGCCACTGTGGAACAGCCGCTCTGGGGAACGGCTCAGTTGGTGATGTGAGATCCGAGGTACTCTTACTCCACTGGGATAGCCGCCCCGGATCCTGCGGCTACACCATGCCGCGATGCCACCATCGCTACACATACGCGATGCCACGACATCGCATAGCCCTATCGAACATTGGCGGCTAGAACAGAAGAGCATGAAATATAAAGCGCATTACGTGCGTTTGCATGCATGCAGCTTTTGATCTGGTTTCCAGTCGCTTTCAGCTGCTATTGCCTTCAACCGCATGAAATGTCGTCGCAGCGGAGAACTCTGCACGGAAATTTCGGCAACCTACGCGGGTTTAAAGCTAGTGGTTATCAAGTCCCATTTTTCTCCCACTCATTTGAGCATATTTCTACGATGACACCTGCGCGGAGTGGCATAGCGCCGCTACCGCGCAAAACCCGCGGGCCCTCCCGTACACTCTGCCCCGCCTGTTGACCTACCCTCTCCCTGGCAGCCGGCGCTGGGGCCGACCTCCCTGCAGCGGAAGAAGTCGCTGCCGGACGCGTCGGCGCTGCCAGTCAAGGCGCGCGTCATGCCGCGAGAGGAGGCCAACTTCCTGGCGGCCAACCGGCGTGAGGACGTGCGCCGCCAGGCGGCCGAGGCCGACATGTATCGCGCCAACCCGCTCCTCTACGTGGTCAATCCCAAGGTCAAGGTCAGTGCACTGCGCGGTCCGTGTCGCTCTGCTTTTTTCAACACAAGGCTCAAGGTCGGCGCACCGCACTGGTCAGTCGTGGACGGCTCAGTGACGAGACGGCCGGGGTGGACACCGCGCGTCAGTGCAACTTTGGGAACATGGAACTTGAGGGTCACTTTGTTATGGCACGAGTCGAATCCCTTCCGCACAAGCCGCGTCTCTATGTAAGCGCGTGCTCACCATGGCTTCCCCGTGTTTCAGGACTGGCTGTCCAGGCAGCGACTCATCATGGCCGTGATCATACTCAACGTGTCGTTGGCCTTACTGTTTCTGAAGCTGCTAACGTAGCGACGCGAACACGACGGCGGGCGTGTGTTCTGCTGACGCGCGTCGTCACACGCCCGCTGATTGGCTCACCAAGCGACCAATCCGTGCCTTCCCTCTATGCGAAGCCAAGCCTTCTCATGGACCGGCGGAAGGAGTGACGCAACGAGAACGACGGAGCGTTTTCACGCAGGTTCAAGGACCTCGATGATGTGCCTTCGAACTTGTTTTTAATGCGCTAAATTAGTGTTTATCAGCTTAGACCGGGACTTGTGGATTTCCCCGTTGTATTGTTACTGATCGAATCAAACAAGTGGTGGTGCGTGGCCGAGTCCACAGAGTGACTGCGGCGGAGAGAAGTCCGCCGGACTCATCGACCTTCTCGCGCCGAGCCGCTGAGGCGCCCGAGTGCGTCCGTTCTGCTCTCCTCCCCCATTTACCCCCTCCCTTTCTCTTTCTCTCCGTCTCTCTGACCCCGCTTACGCCGTCAGGCAGGCGAGACGCTCGCCGCGCATTCTCCCTGCCGTGAGCCAACTCACTCCGCACCGTGGCACGAGCCGCGTACTCTCCCTGTGATACGGAGCGGTGCCGCGCAGGTGGCAGCACCAGTCTCTCCACTCCGCGGCAGGTGGCAGCACCGGACCGCCCGGCCTTCGCCACTAACCGCGGCTCTTCCCGCCGTGTGCCTCCGCCCGGGCTCCCGGCGGCCGACGGGACGGGAGCGGGACTCGCCCGGACTGAGCGTGTGCAGTGCGACCGCGGCCCCGCCGGACGGACGCCGGTCACGTGTCTGGCGCGTCGAGTGATAATGGCCCGAAGTGTGTACTCTTTCCCCACCGACTGCTGCGAACTGTGACCTCGAATAAACACGAACCCATGACAACGACGGCAGCGCAAGCGGATCTTCATGCGAACCAGTATTTGCTACTGCATCTTGGATTGATCCATCATACCACTGTGGTTGGGGAAACTGCGAACCAGCGCAGGCAAACTGATGGCTTCATCCACAGAGCCGGAATGACTGAATACTGACGTTATCACACCGGGGGTCACCAGCAGTACTGACAAAAGCGTTCGTTTAAGTCCTCCCCAAAACTCAGTTCGGCTCACGGCACCCTCTGCAGCCGATGCGTCACTAGTGAATTGGAGGACATGAGTGCCAGATGGCGATGGAGCTGGGGGAAGGGGAGACCCGGGGTGCCTTCTGCCCGGTCCGTCCAGGCAACGCCATGGCTAGGAATCATGCTTCCAAGTTACCTCCCCATAACGCGTTTCCCTCCCCTTTCTTGCGGTGACACCATCCCTCAAATCCGGCGGTGCATGAATTTGATTGAGACATCTTCCAACACCGCGATTCCAGGGGTCTACAGTCGGCTGAAGTGCGTGCGCATTGCACTCATGTCCCATCTCAATCAGCACGAGGCGGCGTCAATCCAGCCAATCCGTGCGCTGTCCCTGGAAAGTGGTATCATCACTGGCCACGGCAGACAATGTCTGCACCCAGACATAACCGCTAGTAAATGTGGCTTGCGAATTTTGCCGTTATTGTTTGCTTCCAAAGATCCTTTCCTGGAACACGTCGACTACGTTTTAAGTATGGCGGCAAAAACGCGCTAATTCCTTTTTAAATATCAATGCATTGCGCTCAGAAACGGAAATACACCTCTCGCCGAACTAGAAATTCTACGGTTATTTTTTTCGCGAGAAGCCCGTCAGCCCGGCCGCATTCAGTGTTCTCTCCACACCCTTGACAAGTCGTGATGATGATGATTGGGGTTTTAGGGCGCGTCGACTTCTAGGGTCATTTTGCGCCCAACCCTTGACAAGTCCTTGCACTTGAACACACGAAGAATGCCACCTTATGATCCGCCGCCCGCATCACATATATGGTTGCCCTCGCTTTGCTTCGCGTGACCCCAATGCTCGTTCTTCACATTTTCAGTTTCAGTCACCCTCATTGAAAACCATTCAGAAATGTGGGTATTGGTGTGATCTGCTGCGTCGTGTAGACCCCGTGTCTTCGGCTCACGCTCCTCGGGCCTGAACCTCCTGACCCCGCTTCTTTCGACCTCACCCCTCCGGCGCTGGACCCGCGGGGTCAAACACAGACCAGGCTCTGCACGGCTGATGTATTGAACGGGTGGCGATAACAGCACGTCAGAGGCCTCACTTGCCCTTGGCGGCCTTCTTGGCGGCGGCCTTTCCGGCGATCTCCTGGTCCTCGGCCGCCTCCTTTGCCCGCTTGGCGCGCAGACCCCACATACGGGCCGTGGCGCGGCTCTGGAACAGGACGGATATGGTCGGGGCACCGCGACAGCGTCAGGTCACGGTACAGCAGGCACTGCGACCGTGTTAGGTCACGGTGTAGCCGGCACTGAGACGGCGTCAGGTCATGGTACAGTCGGTACAGGGACAGCGTCAAACAACGGTGCAGTCGGCATTGCGACAGCGTCAGGTCATTGCACGGTCGATACAGGGATGACGACAGGTCATGGTACAGCTGATACAGGGACATTGCCAGGTCATGGCACAATTGATACCGGGGCAGCAACAGGTTATGATACTGTCAATATAGGGAGTGTCAGGTCATGGTACAATGGATACTGGGACAGCACCAGGTCACGGTACAGTCAGTGCTACGACAGTGTCAGGTCACAGTATAGTCAGTACTGCAATAGCCTCAGGTCATGATACCATCTGTATCTGCAGTCTGTACCAGGACAGCATGAGGTCAGGACAATACCAGTACTAGCATGAAGTCACCTAGATCACGGATGCCAGTACAGTTCATACATACAGACTTAATGCAACCCACTGAATGCATACAGACTTCGCCAGCATTACTTGCAAAAAAAGTCAGTATAGTAGTCTATAAACCAAGCATGACACATGAACCATGTTGCACATTCAAGGCAAGACCACACAATGTTTCAGTTTGAAGGTGACAACTCATCTTTCAAATCCTTCCTCCATCTGATTATGAACTGCATATCATGAGTTATAAACCTCAGCGATAGTGACACAGGTTACGGACACCGTCATGTGCTTAAGGCGCAGAGCAACTTACAACATTTGCTTAAATGCCCACCCCACAATCAGCTTCACGAAACACGATCATCAAGAGGTCGAACTGGCTGCAACGGGTTCTCCCGGACCGCGTGCACCGCGCCCGAGTCGCACGGCGAGCACGTACCCTGCGGAGCGTGTTGAAGGCCTGGAACCTCTGGTCGTCCTCGGTGATGGGCCGCGACTTGACCTGCAGCTTGTCCGAGCGGCGGTGCACCACTGGCATCAGCTTGCCCTTCACCTGTGAGGCCAGCTTCAGCTCCTCCTCCTGCCAGGACACCCAGTGACAAGTCAGTCATGACCACGCGCCGCTGCTCGCCGATACAACCCCACATGTTGAATCCTCTGATGCTAATGGGTCAGCAACGAACACCTCAAAACAGGTGAAGAATTGATGGCAGCAAAGCAGCCTATCATTTCATACAACACAGACAGGATGAATTGTGAACTGTTGTGGTTTCACACAAACTACAACAGATGAACTGTGTGCAACCCACCGAGCTCTCTCCCTTCTTGGGCTTGTTGGTGTTCTTGGGGAAGAGGATGAGCTTGGACCTGTACTCCTTCAGCCGCCGCACGTTGCCCTGCATCGCCTCCACGGACTTGTTGCGGCGCCTGTGGTCGACGGCGATGCCGATGGTGGGCGCGAACCGCTTGGCGATTCCGGCCGCCTGCGAACACAGAGTGGTCTCAGTGTGACGCAGACCAGGGGGCGGACCAACAGATGTCATTGGCCTGCACACACAGTGGTCTCAGTGTGACACAGACCAGGGGGCAGACCAACAGACGTCATTGGCCTGCGCACAAAGAGTGGTCCCAGTGTGATGCAGACCAGGGGGCAGACCAACAGACGTCATTGGCCTGCGCACACAGAGTAGTCTCAGTGTGACGTAGGCCAGAGGGCGGACCAACAGACGTCATTGCCATCAGCATGTCCAGAGCAGCTTATATGTCACTTAGTGGCACTGACAGCACAGCCAAGAACACATCTGCAGCACACAACTCTCACAAAGCAATACTGCACATGGTGGATCCAGAAACACAGGTATGATGTGAATGATGAGTTAAGCACTAATAGACACCATATGGCCAAGTTTTTGGGCGAAGCACTTCCACAATGTTGCAACATGCAGCAAACCCTTCGTGGATTTAGATGTCACACAACATTTTGCTTAAACAAATGCAGTGTGCATCAATAAATACACACAGAAATAATACCCATCAATGACTTGACACATTACAGCCTTTCACAGTCAATCTGAAGCAAAATGGTGCAGACAGCTGCATTGTGCAATGCAGCAATACTGATCATTGCCTGTGGCCTGGAGATGATGACCCTGGGTATATGATGGCCAGCATACTGATCGGCTATTATCTTTATTTACAATAAACAATCTTAAATTTGGCCAGCCACAATTTATCTCTATGGCATCCTCACACTGTGGACAACAATAAAAACATGCACCATGACATGCAATGCCAGGCACACCAAATTTCTGGCTACGAAATCAGTTAGAACTACCACTGGTGTAATCAGGGAGCTGATGGTTTTTTGAAGGTCCTCAATGTATGTTTACACAGGAACTTGAATGATCATAAAAGGTTATGCTTGCAACACCCTGATGACTAAACCAGGCTAAATTTCAAACAGGTGCCTGGGTTCCAGTCAAATTACATATGGTACCAGCTAAGGTACCTGTGGTTTGGTACATTAATACCAGGATTGTTAACACAGCTAACAAGTAAATTATATAATCCTTGAGGTTACTTTCCTTCCACATTGTGTACCATTAACATCATTATTATAAAGTGGGCAACAAGACCTGTAATCTCAGCTCTTTGGCATTAAGTTAACACTTCAGAAGATATATGTCTTGCTCACTGAAACTGTGGACATTGCTTGAAATATGGAGTATTTTTACAATATATGTATACCAATGATCGCTCACAAAATGTTTAAGCAGAACATCCTGCTAGAACAAGCTTCAGTCATTTTCAGGTTAGGAACCCAGGCCCTTTGCTTAAGCCAACTGTAAACACAAGGCAGCGACTGCAGCATGATATAAGGCATCTGCCTCCATCTGCCTTTCTGTCCCTTTGTAAACACAAGGCAGTGACTGCAGCATGATATAAGGCACCTGCCTCCATCTGCCTTTCTGTCCCTTATCTTTCTCCAATTAAGATAATGCCTGTAACTAAGCTATGTCCTTCTAGGAGTTAGCACAATTCAGCAGATATTCCTCCCATATCTAGTGATCAATGGTGGGGTTAACTCTTTCCAAATATTACCTAATTTTATCTAAACACAGCATGGCATGGTGACTGAAAAGATGACCTTTTTGGTATTTCTATGTTCTAAAACATCTTATCACTGCAACTATTCTAGCTAAGCTCTTATAATTGAAACTGTTCCAACTGTGCTAAATGCAAACCTGTGCTCTAGGCCATGGCCTATGAGTTGCAGCATGTGGCATGATTTACCTTGCCTGACAACACACCCCTTTGGCACTGTCACTGCCACCAGCCACAGGCCACCCCAGTCAGGGGCAAACAGCATGGCCATGCAGCAACTGCTATCTATCTTGCTGTGGTTGGGTGAATTGGAACACTCCTACATGCCATTTGAATACCAGACCTGCACCACATTCGGTGCATAGAGACTTTGTTGCAGTGTTCTTGCTACCAGTATTCTGCAGATAAGCTTACTTCCTGATAAGGATGAGCAAGGCCCTTGACATACAATTTGAAGCAATCAGTAACTATCCTGCATCAAGCATATCAGAGCACTGAATCTCAACTCTCACATGCACCAAACTTAGGCCAGGCCAAATTGCACTGAATTTTGCAATTATATTTACACCATAAGCTTTTTTGCCATTGCCACAACCATTTTTGAATCAGAAATGTCTCAAAGCATTTTTGCCTAAAACTACCAATGCAACATCATAATTCCAAGAAACAAATGCTCTACAAGCTGACATTGGTGGTGAGTTCCACATAACATGCACCTTTTGCAGCCTGGTTTGACAAGTTACAATTTGCATTTGATTTTTCGCTGCACCTGTGTAAATCAATCAGAGGGCGGGCACATACACAGCTCATCCACAAACAGGTATGTGGTGCACTTCTCATAGAGCACAACTGGGTGCAACACTCTGCAAAAATCATAGCACTTACAGCAAAATATTGACCATCAGCAGCTGCCAAAAACACCTGGGAGGTGTGGCACACTACACCCAGATTCATGGTTCGTACCTTCAATTCCTCAAGAGTGAAGCCACGTCCCGTCCTCTGCTTGGTGTGATAGCGGAATGTGGGGCACCGCACCACAGGCTTCAGCTTGTTGGTGGGTCTAGGGGCTAGCTTTCTGGCCTTCACCACACGCCTTTCATGCCTCCTGTGTTTCCTTGCTGGCTGGTTAAACCAACACTTGACGTGCTCTTGCCACTTCTTGTGGAAGTGCCCATTGGGCACCATGTTATTCCTTTTGGGCGCCATGATGGCTCTGAAACAAGGGAAGACGGGTAAAGTTTATGGGCTGACTTTTTATGTAAGGCAAAACAATTGAAATCACGCAATTGCAAGCGACCAATACGCAAATACACCAAACCGCAGATTTTACTTGTCTACTCACAGCCGTAAATACACGAGAAAGGAAGAGCCACGCCGCCTGTTTGATTAATATATTTCTCAAAACTTTATTAAGTCCTGCCGTTTAATCAGGTAATAAATAGACCACATTTGCAAGATTAAAGGAAGACGGCTGCTGCAGTACTCGATATCTTAGAGTCAATTTCCATGAACGGACAAAAATTCCGGAGTCGCGCATATTTTCTTTCTCTTATTTCGTCCCCTCACGAGCATAAAGCAGAGCTGCCGGCTCGCACTTGGTGGCGGCCGTGGCGAGCTTGCTGCAGGTCAAGCACGTGACAAATTAAAGAGGGCCTTACTGAATGCATCTATGCGCGCAATAGATAATACAGGTGCTTTAAGTGTAACGCAACGCGATAACTACGCCCGCCTCCCGTGTTGAGTGGAGACAAACCTTGTCTCGCCTGCTATCCCGGCAGCCAGGGCGGTAACTCAATAGACGTGCGCGAAACGCGTAGACACGTCCCAGCGGCCTCACGTGGAAGCATGTAGAAATAATTTGTGGGCCTTCCCGCCACCTCTGATGCATTTCTTTTCCTCAGGATTTTTCAATTAGTGCCTACCACCCCGGGCACCCGACCATCACGGATTTGCTGGCAGACGCCCTTAGCATGCTTTAGGTTCCGAATGGTGAAGCAGTCACGTCTGCATGGTCTAGGCAGTTAAATCATAGCAGAATTTGAATGAAAGCAAATGCCTTGTCCCGCCGCCACCTGCTTGTCCTGCCGGTCGCAACAGTGCCGTGACTTGCCGACGCTCCTGCATCACGCCCTGCCCTGGTGCTGCCACCTAGCCACAAGTGATTCACGCGTGACCGCGGCCCAGCCATGCGCTCTCCGGTATAGAGACTTGGCGTGAAATGCCACTGAATAACCTATGTCTATTGCATCAAATATTCCTATAGGCCCTCCACCCAGCATCTGGTATTGGGTACGATGCTTTTGTAGCTTACCACCCTAGCACCAAGGGGCCTTGTGCTCCAGTGTTGTTATTTTTTGCATTAAGGAGGCCACCATCTGCACAGGTCACTTCATATATTGTGCTTCACTCTCATTCAACAAAAACCAGCAGCAAATAATTTCCATGAAAGCAGCACCCTACTACTCCAAGATTGCCACTGCATGACAACACCTCATCAGTACCATGGCTCAAAGCACATGCCAATGTTCGGCTCGGAGCAACATGTCTTGCACCCCCTGCCGCTTAAAGGCCTGCAGCATACGCCTGTGGCACAGCACAAAGCTCCTAGGCATGCTCCTGAGGGCGCGGCCAGCCCTCTCGCGGTCGGGACCGCATCACCGCCGGCACGGAGTTCGGCCTAGCTGCGTGGTGCCGGCGCTAGGACCGCGCCGCCATCTGTTCCGGGCACAGCCGAGCCGACCCCGGGCCAGGATCCAGCCCCATCCGATCCTCCCGCTCTGGATCGAGTTTCGCCTCCTCCCCACAGTCACCACCCGGCGCTGTCCGCCCTCCTACGTGCGGCGTCCGTTCTGTCCTCCCCTCCCCATCAACAGAAGGCTCTGCTCGCTCCGCCCCACTCGGATGCGGCCCCGTCCGCTCCTCGGCGCCGGGGCTGGGCGGCGTCGCGGCCGCGGCCAGACCGCCGCCGCTGAAGTCCGGCAGGTACTTGGGGTCCTTGGTGTGCCGCCACATGTGAAAGCCCCAGGCAGCAGGTGTGCTGCAAGTGAGACTGCAGATCTGGCAGGGCAGCTGGCCGGCCGCCGAGCGCCGCCGCCCGGCCGGCCGCACCCAACATTTGTGCGCCGCCATGTGGTGTTGCGCCACAAACTCGCGCGCGCAGCGTTCGCACTTGAACGAACCCTGCCAGCAGGCACTGACCGGTTAGCGCATGAAAAGACGGCAGAACACGTGAGATGAGCCAGAGAGCAGATCAATTAGTCTTTCAAAACAGGTCAACTGACAAAAAGCAACAGCACGCATCTGACGGCATTATACGTGGAAAGCCCTGACAGGAGGGACCACTGTCCCATGACACTTAGGGCAAATGGCTTCTGGTTCCCATGGCATTGGCCAAAATATTACATCGCCAACATAATCACCAATAAATATTGTGGCACCAAAATACATCCAAATAACAAAGGCATGACCAAATCCTGACAAGTCCACTTCACCACCAATCTGGGTGCTTGGCCGTGCGAACGCAGCACGCACCTTATCGTGCAGGACCTTGTGCCGCAGCATGTCGTGCTTCTGGTAGAAGGAGCGGTCGCACACGTCACACGGGTACTCCTTGGAGTCGGTGTGTTTGAGCCGGTGTCGGCGCAATGAGGACCTGTTGGAGAGGCCTGGCCGACCGCCGGCCCGCGGAAGACCGGTCATCGCTCATGCCTTCCACATGTTCGTCATACACATATGCCAACGTCGCTAGGAGTCACACAGCGAGGAAAGCAATCAAAAGTTCAAAGAAATCCACAATCATGAGCATGTGTTTGAACTTAAACTGTATGCTTTCAAACAGAAATGAGGCAACGAAAAAGCATGCCTCACTGTTACTCCCCAATCCACGTTTCTGGCCAACAATGTACTACCGCAGTCGAGGCTCATCCACGTATCATTGGACCGCCCTCTCCCCCCCCCCCCCCCCACACACACACAGCTTGCCGACCCTCACAAGCACTCACGGACTCCGCAGACGTCGCACACGCACTGCTTGTCCACGTTGTGCTCCTCCAGGTGCGCGCGCAGGCCCTGCTTTTCGTCGAATCCCTCGTCGCAGAGCGAGCAGCGGAAAGGGCGGCACGCGAGCGGCGGCGGCGCCGGCGGCTGAGGGGGCGGCGGCGGCGGCTGCTGCGGCGGCAGCGGCGCCGGCGCCGGCACGAACACCGGCGCCGGCGAGCCGGAGTAGTGCCGGATAGAGGCACACGGCGGCAACAGCCAGCCGTCCGACCGCGGCGCGGTCCCGCTACCAGGCCGCACCGCCGCAGCCACAGTGAAGCTCGCCCCGTCGTCGCCGTCCGGCACGTAGCAGCCCTCCGGAAAGGGAGCATAGGGCGCCGAGTCGGCGCGCGGCCGCGGCCCGGCCAGGTTGAGCGGCGAGCAGCGCAGTGCTGCCTCCTCGTCGGCATCCGGCGGCCGCCAGCCGACGCCGTCAACCGGCCGGTAGCCGGCGCCAGCGTCTGCTGCGTATGGCTCATACTCGAGGCCCAGCGCACCAGCATCCAGGCGAGGGTTGTGTGATGTGAGGTGCGCAATCAGCGAGAGAGGCTCATGGAACTGGGCGCCACAAACCTTGCAGCACTCAGCCATTGTAATATGGTCTGCCAGCAAAAGATACGAGCAGGTCTAGAGTACCTCCCTTTACTTGTCCAATGCTGTCTGAAATCCAAGTCAATTACATGCTGTTACTGCAGTGTGATAATGTCTCAGCCATCAGACAGAGGTATGAAGTGTAACAGATCAGGAGGACTGAAAGGCATATGACTAAGGCACTCATAGGTGATTCTTCAAACATGTATGGATTGTTAAATACATAAACACAGGGGCAATAAAGCAGTTTGTGCTATCCACACAGGCAGTGCCTCTCATTTCAAACCACTGGGCAAGTCACTGTTAGTGGCCCAATAACTTCAGAGCAAGATAAATTTGTCTCTGTTAAGGTTGCATCTTAAGCATCAAGACACTGAAAGAATTATGTCATCTCCATACAACATACATAACAAATGCAAAAACAAAACACATCACAATAACCATTGGTGTTGTCTCTACATCTCATGGATAATGTGACTAAATCTTCACTGTTTTTGTCTATTTCTTGGTATCAAGACATAACTCAAACTGCACTAACATCCTGAAATTTTCAGCATGTGGGCCTGAATGTCTTGTCTGAAAGAATGGCATCCAGAACCAGGATTAGATGGTTGTGTAATGGTTGCATTGCTATTATTGCTCTGATCATTCCCACAAGATTATAAATGCTAAAAGACATAAAATACTATTATTATCGAAATAGTGAAAAAGTACAAAGCTGAGGAAAACACCTACAGCACACAAACAAGACCATGTCTGACGCACTTCAAGCTTCACTAGCTGGCAAGCTGTTGCGCCCAATTTCCGGCGGAGACAGGAGTATGCCTGTTTACCTCTATATCTGCCTGATGTACTAACAACTTCCTTTTCAACACAACAAACCGTGTTTAATAGTTTAATGTTTAAAATGTAAAATCATCATGACAAGAAACGTTATATGCACCGTGGGAACTGTTCTACTGTTTCGCCCACCCACCACACACTAGATACTAAGCGAGCCCGTCAACAATCACAGCACATTTTCTGACGAACCTAGCGCACTTTCGCCGCAGCTACTTGGTGCGATGGCCTTGGTGCAGTGCAGTGAGCATTGCCGTGAACCTACCGGAAAAATTACATTATGGTTATGTGTTAAAATATTTTACCAATTAGTACCCAAAAACTGAAACATTGCAACTAAAAAATAAAACAAAACTATTAAATAGATCAGGTATTTTTCAACAAAATGAATAGGCCATTATTGGCGGCCTGGGACAAGAGTAATAATTACCCACTAGTGATCTTCATACAGGTGATGGCAGCACGAAGGAAGGCGGCCGAGCCTGTGGGTTTGTGGAGCAGGTAGGGGGAGGGGATGTTTGGTTGTTGTTATTAGGGCAGGGTTTCTTATGATGATCTACGGTAAGTAGCCTAGTAGCAGTATAACTGATGCCTTCCTTTCAACACCAGTTGATTGACCTTCGATGCCTAACTTTAGTAAACACGGTACCAAACGCACCTGGTATGGGAGTATAGTTTCCCAGTCAGTTGCCCCATTCCCCACAAACCTGGGCTCCAGCCCCCAATTAAAGGCGAAAGTCGGTCAAATCCAGGTAGAAGCCTGGTTGTGTATGTTTTGGTTGGTTGTGTCATTGTCCAGGGCTCAGCCTTGTTCTGTGATGTACAAAGCTGAAAAGATTACCGGCAATGGCTAAGAATGGTAGTGAATCATGGTTTGAGGGGTAACATAGTCTGACAGAACCATACTCTGCCCAGATTTGGGCAGTTGGCTATCATAATTTGGTACAAATTACACCTGCCCAACAAATCTTGTTGGTACGTTTGCCATGTTTGGCAGACTGGCCCCTGCACATGACACTATGTTTCACATTCATTGATTATCATTTTCTGCTGAGACAAGAATGATGCTTCCTGAAAGTATGTGCCATAGACTGGTGTGCAAAAGGAGTGTCTGTGTGGGGGTGTGCTGACTGCTACTTTTGTGTTAATGACCATCCTGAAGTCAATAGATAGCCATCTTTCTTTCTCCAAGACAAAAATGACTTTATCAACATGTCATGGTTTGTTCTGCTTATGTTATTCAGAACATCCACATTGTTTGATTTTTCAGACCTTAACATTCCCTGAAATTCAATATTTCAAAGAGTATGTAGTAGCCCATGTGAACACACTGTACAAGTTTGGAGTATGGTCAAATCTGTAGATGGTAAGCTGAACTGCCTAGATTTGACATATCCATGTGACATTATTGGGTTTATTTCAGAGGATGAATTCTTCAATAAACATCAAGGATGAATCTGAGCTTTACAGAGTAAAGTACTCAAAGTTGAAGCGGAAGCTAAGGACCCTGGTGTTTGTAAGCATATGTATGGCATAGAAAATGTGTTGAGAAATTGCAATTATGTTTGTTAATTTTTAAAGTCAGCTTGATAGAAATGTAAACCTATGCAAGTGCATTGAATTCCAGGGATGTGGTGCAGTTTAGTGATAAAGGGCTTGTGTCACATGTCAAAAGGTTTGGCATTTCTTAGCAACATGTTGACATTGTTTTATTTGTAACTTATTTGTAACTTTTATTTGCATTGATCTGTTGAAATTGCATCATTTCTGAAAGAAACCATCAGTAGTTGCTGCTCCACCACTTGCGCACAGACAACCGTATATCAAAAAGCATTGCAGTATTATTATTGTCACATCACCTAGCTTGTAGCGTGTTTGGCCTACCATCTGAGAATGAGAACCTCTGGCAAGCAGCTGTGCTATGCTGAAGTTTGTTCTTCAGGAGAATGAGTCATACCGGGATGAGCTGATGCGCTGCCAGCGCAAGCTGCTGAAATTGAACCGTGACAAGTGTTTCCTGCTGGACCGGCTGCTGCAGTATGAGACGGCTGTGAACTCGTCCGACTCGGAGACCACTGAGGGCTCTGACACAGAGGCGGACAGTAAACACAGCAGGTCAGTGGGCGGCTATGGCTTAGGCTCCGTAACGTGCCGGTCTCTGGCGAATCTTGTGCTTGAGTCAGCCCTTTGACTTGTGGTGTGTTCTTTGATAAAAGCAAGGTTCTTTGGATGTGGATGAGATGTTCTAAAATGTTGAACTGCTGATGGTTGGTGGCGAACTTTTCTTTCATTGTATCATTAACATGATTCTGGTGATCGATCTGGTCATGCTTTCTGTCCCTGGTCCATATGTTCCTTCGGAAGGTGTACGTTTTCATTGTCTCTTACGTTGCCATTGGTCTCGGTGTCAACAGGAGAAAATTAGAAGCAGGAGCAGAACGATCGCCGGCGAAACGAAAAAAGCAGATATTGAAGGGGAAAAATGTGGTATGTGTGTCAACAGTCTTACTGTTCATGCTGCTTTCATCTTTTACTGTTTTGCTGTTTGCCTCTGGATGTGTTGATGAGGACACCACCTGGTCGGATATGTGCACTGAATGAATTAGCTTGCCATCACAAGTTGTGCGATCAAGCGCATTCAGGGCACTACCCTACACAAACCAGCAGGTAGTGTACACAAAATGCATTAGCCTTGCCAGAACGTCACACATCGTCCATCTCCATCTCATGCAGCTAGTCCGTCGCACTGTCCCCTCCCGTTGTGACCGGCGTGTGCGCGCGGCAGGCGGCGCGCTCCCAGGTGTCGCGCTCTTTCGGCGACAACGGCCACATGACACCCGAGGAGGTGGAGCGACACCTGGAGTCGCGCACGGCCGTCAAAAACCCGGACATGGTGCCGGAGCGCGCGCCGCTGACCGTACCGCGCCAGCTGTTCAGCACCGAGGAGGGCGACTGGGAGGGCCGCGAGTCCCTCGACACCGCCAGCAACGTCGACGAGGAGGGTCTGGTCATCGACTTCCCCGAGTGAACTCTGCGATGATGGGCTGTCCGCGCGACGGCGTGTGGGCCCTGGGATTCCGCGAGGCCGCGGAGTGGTTTTCTGCGGCTGCAAAGGACCTCGCGTGTAGGTGACCTGGGTGACCGTGGTTTGCTTTTGTGACCCCGAGTGATCTCGTTGAAAGTGACCGGCTCGTGCCGGTCTCTCTCTCTCCCCTAGCTAGGTCCAGTTGAGCTCAGCGCATCTGTCGTGCGCACGAAGCCGATGATATCCGTCGCCGTGACGCAGTACGTTGCGTTGTCTGGGAAGCGCGTTTTGTTCAGAGGGGCCGATGGGCGTCGCGCTCACGAACGCTTCCGAGTGGGAGTTATGTCTTAAAGCTTTACTGTGTTCATTGTCACTTCAGGCACACCATCGTTACTGTCGTTTTTTGGATCGCTGGTGAAGAGGTTCAGGAGGAGCTTAGCTGAAGCGTCAGCTATTAACGACCGTGTACCTGACCGTTCGTGTAATATACATCATATAATTGCACGTGGTTGAAGCCGATATCCCCAAATCGGAAAAGACAAATAGGATCATGTGCATTTCGTGACGGGAGATAAAAGACATCGCCCTTGTGTGTGGTGTAGGCCGTGCATAATGTTCGGAACTACGGTTGTGCTTTCCAACATTCCATGCGCGGAAGGGATGACAAAGTGTGGTCATCGAATCGGCTCTCCCGTTCCGGCCTGCATCTGGGCATGTGAAACGGCGAAGTAAATCCCAAGTTCCGAACAACATGAATGATTGGCACTACGCACGTGGGACTGCTGGGACGTTGATTGGTAGCGCCCCATATGTTCCGTTCTAAACTTTCGAGGGGAAAGAGCGTCCTCTTAGATAATTGGTCGGCGCTACAAAGTTCACGTCGTGCGATTCAATATTAATGTCTCCGAATCCCCGGATATCGTTCTCTTCATTGTCGTTCTCGTTCTGTTCACAAAGTGCGTGCCCAAAAAGGCGCCCGCGCAGCTCGATTTGCACTATATTCGAATCATCGTATGCAGTCACCCATTCACACATCACTACGAGCTCCAAACAAACGCTCCCGACGCGCTTCTGTCGGAGCTCGCCCGCAGAAACACCCGATGGCACTGCGCCGCGTGCTTCCTGTCCAGTTCCCACGGTCCGGGGAGCACTGCCTCGCGAAAACCGACGCGAACCACATTCACTGAGTCTTCCCACGCTCGCCGCCAACGTGTCGGTCCCGGCACGACCGCCGTCCACACCGCTGCGTCGGTTTGTCCGTGGCTCAGTGCGCACGCGCGGCGGCTCAGCTGGCGACGGCGGCCTCTTCGGCCGGGGCATCAGCCGCCGCCGCCGGAGGAGGAGGAGGAGGAGGCGCTGGCGGCGTCGGCTCAACGCGCCACGTGCGGCCGACCGGCTCGCGGGCCGGCATCCAATCCGGTACGATCTTGCTGTGGACGCGCCAGCGACCGTACTCGTCGGCCAGGTGCTTCTCGAACACGACGTACTCGAGCACATCCTTGGCGACCACCTCGGAGCCGTACATGAGCCGGCCGAACCGATCGTAGATGGCCAGCAGCTGTCGGCACATGGGGGTGGGGGGCTGGTGAGGCGTGTATGAGTGGCCGCGGTCAGACATCTGCCTCTACCCCGGCATGGTGCCATGGTTACCCGAGGCTGACGATGGTCTGGTTAAGTAACCGGCTGATGATAGATGGCTGAAAATGACAAGCTGCCTCTTCAATATAAGATTTTCTGGACCCCCCCCCCCCCCCGTGAATCCTAAACCACAGGATCCTTGGCAAAATGGCCTCCCAGTTTATGACCCACGATCCAGTCAACAACGTAAAATCATTAGGGTTGGTTCACAAAAACCACATGTGAGTTCAGAGTTGATGTCATCGACCTTCAATATACCAGCAGGTGCTGGACAGTGTCGAGCAAATACTAGTTATATTCCCATTACTTGACACATCAATCTGCGTTTATAGACATCTGAGTATTCAGAACATGACCGATGCAACTATCAGCATACTAACCGGTCTCATAATGTCTGAACAACAGAAGCTTAAGGCCTATCTTGCCGACAGCACGCACATGAACGTATGCTTCTCATCAGTCAATATCTTTTGTACAATATAATTACACAACCACCATGAGTATCTCGATGGCACATGGAAACAAAAGAACAGGACTATTGTGACTGCATGTGGAAGCAAAAGAACAGGACTATTATGACTTGCATTACATTGTTGCCTCTGAAGGGTGTTCAACATTTTTATGGGGTTTTGAACTTGAATAGTAGGTCATTGCCATCAACATCTTGAAGATCATTAGGTACAGTTCACAGCCCCGCCCTCCTTAAGACGTAAACCCTTGTTCTTTCTGGGCTACACGCTCGCGAAGACGTATAGACTATTTCGGGACTCTATTTCGAGGTCACCCAGGCATCCACGCCGTCATAATAGTGTTATTCAAATCCTGCCATTACCTTGATCACGCGGGATGAAGACAATATAATTGTTGAGTAGTTCTGATCTACCGTTCGTGATCACGCTGTCTAGATGCAACGGCCATCAATTGGCTCCCAAACAATGTTGTGCATGGTACGATGGCGTCATCAAACAATAACGTATTGAGGAGCATATTTACTTAACGCAGAAACTATGTTCTCTAGAGCAGCCTTTTCCACTTAAAAGTATACCAATAGTTATAAGTGAGCTTGTTCCATGATGCCTATGCTTGATTCAAACCCCTCAAATGTGGAACATTTCCTTCAACTCATTCACTAAATGCTTTAACGTGAATATCATGGATACCAATTCACATCAACGCGTTTTGCGGTCCCTTCACGCAACTTCAATGCTATATACCGAACAAATGTTCGGTCATAGTGCTACCAAGCAGTGTCCCACCACGAGGTATCAAAAGCCATCTTGCATACATATTCTGAGAATATGCACCGGCAATGACACCAGACCCTACATGACACCACCACGATCCGTCGGGCTGCCCGCGCTTCCCAGCACCCGCGCTTGACCCTTTAGCCGGGTCCGTCCGGGCGGGCCTCCTGTCTCCTGCTGTGTCGTGCCCTGCTCCGACCAGTGTACCGCCGCAGCCGCGCCGGCACGCGGCGGTCGGACCGGCGGCCTGTCAGCCACGCACCTGTTGTGTGTGCAGACGCACCGTCACCTGGGCGTACACATTGTCCTTGGAGATGACGTTTGTGTGGCGCACGTGCACCACGCGCGCCGGCTCCAGCGACTTAAGCAGCTGCCAGTGCACCGTCTTGCTCCGCACGCTTTGGATCATCTTCGGATAGGCCAGTTCTGCGCGACGGAGGTGCGTTAGGAGCGTGGCAGCTTGAGCCACTTCCTCGACCCACGCTCGTCGATTTAAAAACATGGCACATCAACAGTGGGAGGGACGAAATTCACTTTAAATCTCGGAGTCCCCCACTCATTTCTACGAATTTCAGCCGATGACTGGGTATGTCGCAGAATGCAGACATCGCGGCAGGTACAAATAAAGGGTTGACCAGACGTTCTAGTTAATCTGTGGTCGTTTGAGAACGCCTTTCGCCGAGTTTTAGGTCTGTTCTACGTTATTCAGGGAAGGTAAAAGACACGTTCCACCATTCTGACAGCGCTTCTACCCAAACCACGTCTAAGATATTGCCTTCCTTTTTATTGCTTAGATGGCTTTACTATTACAGCAAGGCAAAACGCATCATTAACATACTTACTAATAATATTCATATCTTATTTTTTTACTACCGAAATCAACAACGTTGTGCACGCAAAAAACAACAACATTTCGTTTACCTTCAAAACATCGCAACACTCGAGTGTCTTTGGACACCACGTGCAACAGTACACAGACGGTATCTGCGCCCCACCACGCCGGCGGTCCGGCCTCCAGGACCGACCACCTCCGACCACGAGTTGCGCCGCTCGCTCGCGGCGCCTCCGTCGGGTCTCACCCGTCACGTGCTTGTGCAGGGCGGCCTTGTCGAGCCGGGCCAGCGCCTGGTGCGCCTCCTGGTAGATGTTCAGTGCATCCTCGGCGAAGTCACTCACGTCAAAGTCCTCGTCGAAGGTGCGGATCTTGCGCACAGCCATCATCGACTTGGCCTTCTTCTCCAGCAACTCAACCCGCTGTTTGGCGCCCTGTGGCACAGACAAGCAGCGAGGAAAAAAGCGTCAGTGGGTGGTCCTCGATGACTGGCCGTAGACTGTCACACGTGTGGACACGCGTGGAGAGTTATACTAAACGGCTCCTGGTGAGAAGAAGGTTGGTGGACACTGAGGGCCATGCAAGTACATGCAAGGGAATGAAAAGACTTTAACTTAAGACTGCCGAGACCGATGGCCTCAATGTGTGCCGAACATTCTGAATAGTACAAACACTGGACGATGCCGGCTGCACGAGCCCAGAAGACGTAATCCTTGATATCAAAGGTGGCCCTGCCCCCCCCCCTCTCAAAAAAACTTTAAAAAACTGTGGGCCACAACAAAACCAAACAAGGGGCCAGTTAGGGCGCACCATCAAGCCACATGGACGAGGCAAAAAGACCATTGCTAATTAAAACATTGACAAATGGGATCCAATGGACAACTGGGGAGGTGATGCTGATAGTGTTGTGGTTAACGCGTCTTCGTTACCCACTGTGTGTCTGGAAAACCAAAGGTACAGGGTTCCATTCCCTGCGGTGCCCGTCTTTCCTGCCAGGGTGCGAAGCAGGCAACTCCATATAGCCTTAACAGCTGAGTGCATTGCAACGTCCCAATGACAGATGGACCGTTGGAGAACACCAGTGCAACTGGGTACACAGCACACCTGTACCTGCCACTATCAACCTACCGGTAACTGCAAAAAGCGAGCTGAATGTGATAACAAACTTTGGGCTTAGTTACTCCACTCCTCTGTATCGTCCTCCTGTACTAACCCCACCTCGCTCAATCAGTAATGTTCAGAAGCCTCAGAAGGCTCCCACCAAGCCTACTTTGGATTTTTCCAGCCCACTACCAGTGGTCGCATCACCTGTTCAAGAAGGCCGAGACTGGGGTCAGGCTGTTTAACATTGTCATTACCTAACAGCCCTGACAGGGGATGCACGGAGCCACTGCTGGCACTTCTACCGTGCGACGTCCGACATCAATACAAGGCCAAAATACAGCCCGCGAGCGGCTGCGCACACTCATCGCCTCATCAGACAAGGCAGCCACAAACGCCCCGTCGCGCCGCGCCACTGACCGTCTTGGACACGATGGAGACCTTGCCGTCCCCCTCGGGCGGCACGTACTCCTCGAACACGCCGCCGGTGCAGCTGATGTTGATGGGCCGCTCCTGCCACGGGCGCGGCGGCAGGATGCCTTTCTCCTTCAGCTTTGCCCGCATCTCGTTCGGCGTCAGGTCGGCGGCCTCTTTATCCTCGTTGAAGTTAGGTAACTCCACCTTGATGATCTGCGGGACACCGGTTGTGAGCGCCACTCAGACTGGCAGATCTCAACCACTAAATGTGATCTTTATGATGCTAACCAACACACGTGACCGCTTCGGTCGTTGGCGGGGCATCACCAGGGATGGGGGGTTACCCATACATCCACCCCATCCCTGCCCACACAGGGATGCCCTTGGGAAAATGGTCCTGTTGTTTCAGGTATTTGTCCCAGAAGTGATTGTTTTGATCTCACCACACCAGTCCCTTGCTCCCCAGCCCACCAGCTCGCCCCATGACCCATACATCCATGACCTCCCTGGCCACTGGTACTGTGGCGCACCATCCACTCTGTCCCAGTATGGCCAGTAAGATGCAGTTAGCAGGCCACTTGCCCACAGGTCCCCTCATCATGGACCATGTCACCTACACATCTCACACCAGTGGCTACAGTATGGCTGCAATGCCATTTGCTGGAGAATGCTGCCATGATCCATTTGGCCAGAGAATGTTACTATAAGAAATTTATTTGATGGGAAAATGTTACCATCAATAATCGATTTGAGATTGAAAGATTTGACAACTTGAAGTGGTCACAATCAGAGCATGAGTTGGAGACATCACCGCTCACCTTTTTTCCTCTGAGCATGCGGAATTTGGGATTCCAGTGTTTACTCATAGTTCTTTTGTGATGACAGTCTGGCAGCTGGGTCACCAGGAGCTGACTCGAAGACTGTGCACCAGCCAGCCGGCATACCTGCATCATGAAAACCATCAGTCGTGTTTGGTGGACACTTTTCGGAGGAGCACATTATGTAAAAAAACCCTTGTATGATTACAGACATGTTATCCTACCACCAAAAGACCCAAGAGCCTTTATCATAATTTACAGCCTTTCAGGAAGGAAAATTTGCAGTTTCAATGTTAAAATAAGAATTTGAATGATAATGAGCTGTACAGGGCAAAAATGATCAAACATACAAGACATCAGGCATTTTTGTCTTACCATTGAAAAAAGGGATAAAATGTGACTGGAGCACTAATTTAGTTTGCCCACATTGTACACCATCAGTTTAGGACAATATATAAACCTATTTGAAAACTGGCCACACAGAATGCATGAAATGATATGTTGATGGACACCTAATTATTTCTTGGATGACACATTCAGCACCAAGGAACAACCAACATACTTAACATTTATAAATACTATATACATATATTCAACTGTTATTCTAATAAAATAAGGCACATACCCTGGAGATGGCACCCACAGCCACAGCTGTCTTCAGTACAGCAGACATATTTGTCACTCCTGCTGTATCTTCTTGATACAGTGAGGCCAAGTTATTGTTAACCTGAAATGAGACATTGTTAAAAGTTGGATTCAATATGACTCCACACATTCACTGCTCATTCCTCAGGACAAGAGCTTGACTTTGTAAACCGCATGGTTACAAGTATTTTGGATCATAACATGTTTTAGTAAAGTGTCACAGCATTTCAACAAAAAATGGTCACCTTAGCAGCCTGTGTGCTTGCCAAATTTAGAGCATAACTATACGCTTTATTTCATTTTTCAATACAGTGTTGAACCAGGCTGCTCAACATCTGGTCAATATTAATATTAAGATTTTCAAAACATTAGGTGAGATATGTTGAAAGAGTAGCCTGGCAAATGAAAGAAATGTAGGTACACCTGTATCCCTTGACAGGGACTTAATACTGATGCAAAACATGGTTTTCCTTGGGCAAAATGACATCAATAACATGTCAAAGATTTCTTATGAGCACACATTTCAGCATGTTAGCATTATCAGCATAGTCCCTTGAATGTGTGGCCTTGTGGGAATGCCTTTAGAATGTTATGAATATGTAAGCTAGATTAGGCAACAGGTGCCTGCTTACAATCAGAAAGCAATGCTAGGTTGAGGTACACAACCTCACATTTTGGGCAAATTGATTTGAATCAAATCTTGCATTAAAGTCACCTGACCAGGAGAATGCAGGGTGGAATATGAAGGATATGAAGGATATGAAGGGTGAAAATCAATATTTGGAGGTAGGACTGGCCCCAAGAGCTTTTCAAGCTCCAGCCTTCTGGGCCCAGGCACAATAATTTTGCAAGTTTCCATCAAAATCAATCAATGTGGTATGCAAAGCCAAAAGACTGCAGGTGAAAGCTGCTAAAAGGAATTAAGCTTATCTTTGGAAGGGAGACGTGTCTCAGAATCTCTCCAGAAAACTATCTCCAACGTTTTTAACACTGGAGTTGATCTGTTACTGTGAGCTACACTTCATAGAGTGGGAGGGGGACAAAATGCCATCAAGGTTTCACCCACCAAAAGTGGCCAGCGCTCATTCAACAATTTGTCTGATATCAGACTCAGCATCATTTTTACCCAATTTGAGACATACAGACACTTCCCCCGGTCGCCATACATACGCACCTTTAGTCCTACGTACCTTCAGTCCTAGAACGTAAAGTTAATTGCTCTCCGAAACAAACCAGAACAACATTTGCAATTGTCCTAGGTGCACGAAACAGTGTGTGAATTTGTCGCAAGAGCGCAGTTTTGAAATACATACATTGATTATATTGCAGCACAGATTACTAGTTCGCCTAGTTTAGTTGGCAGAACTGAAAAAATCGTAAATTTTAGGTTACTGAGTCAATTAAGTGATGACAAAGTTGAACCTCTTCAGACTTTACCTAAATTTTATGTTCCTGATGTCATGAAAACTTCTCAGAAGTTGGGAATGCCGCGAACTCTGTTGATTTCTGAACATGACGAAATTTGACGAAATAGCCAATGATGTTTGAGATGCTTGTATACTTCGGGCTCTTGGCCCGTGTGGGGTGATACCCGGCTCTTGGCTCGTGTGGTGAGAGTGGGGGTTAAGCGCCGCGCGGTTGGGAGGCAGCTGAGATTGGGTAACAATTTTCGTAACTTGAATCATTTGACAGATTAGGAAGAACTTGCGTTTCTGGTTTTATTGACGCCGGAACGTGGTTCATGTAGACTGCCTGGGTCTGAACTCAGAGTCGTAAGGGACTATCTTTGATACTTTCGGAAAGCCTACCACACCATATCTGATGTATGGTGTATCATAATGAAGGAGGATGTTCATTATTCTGGTGTATTTTTAAGGAATTCTGTATTTTTAATCAGTGACTTCCCATACTATCTACAAGTGCATGTCGATGTTCATGGTTTCTGCTAATTTCCCCTCATGGTTGTAATATAGGCAGGGATTAATTTTAAATGCCTATTTTTGGGCTACTGTAAAGCTAAAAGACATGTTGTTAATGTTTTTGGCATCTGAATCATTTCCTCAGTGTTGTTCTGTTTCAGTGTGTAGGAATTATCCTGTCTGATGATCTTCAGGGACTGTATCACTCTATTCTGCTGACTTGGAACTTGCTGCAGCTTTCATGTCATGCTACGACTGGCTTTTTTTAGATGTACCTCTGCATGGCACACCCTGCAATATCTGTATTAACAGATGCTAGGTGTGTGGTGGAGCATAATGATTGTTGGTTATGAACAATTTGCTGTGATTAAAAGTTAAAAGATTCAAGTGTTACTATTAACAGTAAGCTTGCTACATCAGAGTAGGTGGTAGAGACAAAAGAAATATCTTATAACACTATTTCTGTGACTTGAAGCAGTGTACAAAAGTGAAGAAGTCATTTAAAAGCTATTATACATATATCAGACTACATTTGCAGTGTTATATCCATGCTTCAGCCCCCATTAATGGAAAGGCTTGTTGGCTCATAGAGAAGATAAAAATGACAATTTAAGCAGTCAACAGTCTTGGAAGTTTGTCCTCTGAGCAGAAACTAGATATGTTATACTGGGCAGAAATAGTGGAGAGCCCTATGAGGCTCATTCCTCCACTTTGTTTTCTTTTGCACCTTGAAAGACTAGGAAGCATATGTTTTTTATATCTGTAGGCACTATATGCAGACATGCTATTCTCCAGATTATTACCATTACCACCTGGATCAACAAAGGCAACTGATCTGTGCACACCACTCTATGGTAACCTAGGTTTGCTTGCTGGAAGCATATTGGTGCTGAATGGTACTGTGCATTGGCGGCTTGTGTGGTGTGATACTGCTGGATTATGCAAAATGTAGTTAACAGGTCATGAGGGATCAGTTGTTTATTAAGGACAACCTGGATGGGACAGCATGGGTAATATGAGGCTGGATGGTTTTGGATTTGAGAAGATTGGTCTGGATGGGACATGGATAGTCTGGGCTGTCTTTAAAGGTTATGTAGAAAATGGGCCAGACCAAGCTGTGCATTTTTGTTTAAGTGATTTTTTTAAGTGGAGTCCAGCTAAGACCCTTTGTTTTCAGTTCCAGACAATCCTCTTTGATCCCATCCAGTGCTATTCACCCCATCAGGTTCTGTCCTGCCCCATCTAGTTCCAGCTGCTCTCATTTGGTTGTGTGTGGTCTTGTCCAGTCCTGTTCAATTTAATGCTATCACATCATCCGCTTTTGTCACCTTGAGGGTTTCATACAGTAGCAGTTCATGAGCAGAAGCTTACATTATATTGACCTCCAGTTTCCATCAAGAATATACTATTTTACTGTTGCACATGTCAGCCAGCACCAGCTCACTGTGCTATGCATTCTGTCACTTATGCTGCATCATTCACTGTTCAGCAGTGCCAAAAGGTGTAAAAGTGTGTTATTTTGCATCATGATGTGAGGCACACTTTGACACCCATATTGAGTGTTCAGACAGAATTATTCCCCAAAAAGATGCAATAGGCATGGGCCCATGCTGCAGATTGTATGATAACCTGGAGATGCCACTCCATCTGTTGACATTGGCTGATAACATGAATAGCAACAAAGCATTGCAAATGGGGCTGTACTGTCCATCCAGCCCAGCCTTAACTGAACCTGACTGATTTGCTGCTGTTTCACTTGAGATGAATTGTGTCTGCTGAAACTAAATGGCAAACTCCATTCCTCCCAGCATGTGTTGGCAGGCATGCATCCCTACATGGATTCACCTTAATCCACTTTATTGTCTGACTGATATGCTGATATGCTGCTATGCTGGTTGTCTGCCCCCAGGTGGTTATTGAAAGGTGGAGCCTAAAATTTTAAAATGAACAGGCTGAAGCAATCAGATGGGGATGACTGCATGCAGATAGCTGCAACTAATGGCCACAATGAAGAGGATCATATTGAACAGGAAATTGAAGAAAAGGAACATTTCCAGAGGGTTATTAATGCTTTCAAATACTACAAGTATGTAACATGTACAGGTATAATGCAGCTCCACAAGTTGATGGTGAATGGTTTGATTAGGTGCCAACCCTGTTTGCATTATTTTTTATTTTGTAAACTGTCATTTTTGAAAGTAACAGGTCTGATCTTGACACCCAATTTTGGGTCTGCCTTAAGTGTCAGGATTTTCAGGCTGTTGACACAATCTGGTTCCCATTCATTTTGTGTGCATGCTAAATAAATTGTGATAAAAACTGTCAACTATCTCTCAGTAACTTGATGTCGTGTTTTCTCTAGATCTCGTGATATAAGTGTCCCCACGCCTCTCAGCATGCCCACTCCATCGTTGTCACCGCAGGGTGCACTTCCTCGGCAAGATCGACAAGAACGAGGCATTCGTGGCGGCCATGAAGGAGCGGCAGCGCGAGCTGTTGGCCGACTACTCGGAGCATCTGCTCCAGCTGCGCGTCTGCATCGAGCACAATCACGAGATCATCAAGCTGGTGCTGCAGGACGTGGACAGCATGTTCGAGAACAGTCGACACGATGAGCGGGTTCGTATCCAGACGGCGGCGGCGGCGGCGGCGGCTTTTCACAGTCCAGAAGCCAGGTCTCGGCTCCCAGCCTGGATCTCATGAGCGAGGGTAGCTCTTTGGCCGGTTTGCTGGGTGATTTTGGATGGGGTGAATCAACTTTTCATAATGATATGCTACGTTTGTGGAAGGTAGATCTGTCGTCGATGTGTTCGGCGCGTTATACTGATCACATGTTGATAACAAGATGCTCATCCCCATGTCCCTCACATCTATGGGCGTAAGATTGTGGGAAGAGGGCGGTCCGTGGGTGTCACGGCATTTGTACTTCCCGAGAATGTGCGTTAACCCATTGATGACTCATTAAATCTAAAAATCTACTCCAGAATTGGTTTTGGCACCCCACGTTGTGAGATGCTCCTTCGCCTCTCCGCACGTCCCATGAGTCCCCCATCCGAGAGCAAAGGGACAGCTGTCACCGGCGATCGCCAGTATTCCCTGCTCCGCTGAAAACCTCGGCCCGTTGTGACCCCACGGCTGCACCGCTCCCCATTCCCACGCCGGTGGGGGGGCTGCCGCCTCAGCACGGTCTCGGCCGGTAGGAGCACCGCGGCCTGGGCCGGCCGACCCTCTCCGAGATGGACAAGGTGAGCTCGGTGCTGCGCCAGGTGGTGCGGGACTGGAGCTCCGAGGGCGAGGCCGAGCGGCGCCAGTGCTACCAGCCCATCATCGACGAGATCTGCCACCGCTTCCCGGCCGGAGACACGTGAGTGGCGGCCGGCTCCGACCTACCGCCCGGGGATGGGTGGGCGCACCGCACGCGGAAACGGAGCCGGCGGGGCTGGGTCTCCCTGCGGCGCGGGACTCTGGAAAAACGGGCTGTTCGATATGAACTTCAGTGTCGCTGAAGATTGTTGAAGTTTTGTTGTGTGGTGTAAGCTTTGTTGTTGGCGGTTCAGGTTAATGGCAGACGTGGTTTAATTGGGTGCAAATGTGCTGTTGTCGGTGGAATTTCCATTGCCATGCGTTGTGTATTGTCCGCTGGAAGTAGATCTGCAGGCAACGCAGGGCTGCAGTAAGGTTTTAAACCCCTCTCGAGACACTGATGAATGACACATCTACGAAGTGTTAGGAATCCACTCTGGCCGACCATCCCGAACGAATGCACCCAGGTGTGCTCACCAGTCCCCATACGTCACGACTAACTATGAGTGCGTCGCTTTAGTCGCGCCTCTTCCGTCCCCTCCGGTGCCCTGTTCCTCCAGCCGCCAGTGACCCAGCCGGCGCGGTTGACAGGCCTCGGAGCAGTATCCAGGTGCTTGTGCCCGGCGCCGGCCTCGGCCGCCTGGCTTTCGAGATCGCCAAGCTCGGCTACGCCTGCCAGGGAAACGAGTTCGCTCTGTTCATGCTCTTCGCCTCCAACTTCGTGCTGAACAGGTGGGAGCGGCCGCCCGGCGGTGTTGGGGATGTGCCGCGCGCGTTGTCGGCGAGAGTGGCACCTTTCTCACCAGTTTGGTCGCGTGAAGTGCCACCTCCCTTCTTTGCCTGTCTCTCCCGAGCTCGTACGCATCAGGTAGCCTTAGACTGCAGGCGGTTCAGGGGCTGTAGCTGGCCACAGAGCACGCTGGCGGTTCGGCTTTACTGCAGGGATGTCACTCCAAGCGATCCGAAGCGGTCTGATTCTCGCAGCACTTGGCAGTGCTTGGGCCGCTCCGGTCCCATCTGATAGACATGGGATGCGAGCAGGGGATGGTTGTCCTTGGAATCCGTCGCCACATGTGACGGCCGTGTTGCACTGCCCGAGCGCCCCAGGTATGGACCAGCACAGAGTGCCGCGCCGCCAAACGTCCATGCGAGGCTCTACACTGATCGCCGGTCACGTTAGCCGCCGTGACTGCTTCGCTGCCCTGCCGCGCGTGCTGGGCACGCGCCGCTCGCCGCCCGGCGCTCTGGCCGTGCCGACGGCCCCTGAACGCCGGCCGGCCGTCCCTCGCAGGTGCCGCGGCACCCACGTGTACCGGCTGCACCCGTGGGCCACGACCAACACCAACAACCTGCGGCCGGCCGACCAGACGGCGGCCGTCTCGTTCCCGGACGTGGACCCGTCCCAGCTGCCCGCCGATGCGCCCTTCTCCATGGCCGCCGGCGACTTCCTGGAGGTGCGACCGGCTGTCGGGCTGGTGGGGGTACTGGAAGCGGAGCTGACCGGAGGGACGCTTTTGGGAGGTCCTGGAAAGGCATGGGTCGCGCGCTCACCAGCTTGGTCGCTGCGGGCTTGTGATCTCACAGTGGACTCCCTCAGGTGTATTGTTTAAAATGTGAGGCCTCTGCCCGCGGTGGCTTACATCAAACTGCAGCTGCCGTGCTTAAAGCGCTGAGTCGAAAAAACGAGCGCACGTGGTGCATGGCAGCACGAGCACAAGACGCTGGCTGCTCGCGCGACATTCTGGCAGCTTGCCGCAAGCCACGCCTTTGTCGTGACATACTCGTGAGTAGCACTGACCCCAGGTGGGACCGGGTCACCTCACCAGCTTGCAGCGTCACTGGGGTATTATGGGCACGGTGACGTACACACCGCCATGGTGAACTGGCTGGTACGGCTCGATGTGCTGCCGTCGAGGCTGAGCATTGGGCCTCCCCTCCTCACCAGGTGTACACCGAGCCCGACCAGTGGCACTGCGTGGCCACCTGCTTCTTCATAGACTGCGCCAACAACGTGGTCCAGTTCATCGAGACCATCTACAGCGTGCTTCGGCCGGGTGAGCTGGCGCGTCCCGGCCAGAGAGCGGCCGGCGGTCATTGGACAGGTTGTGCCGGTGGCCGATGTCACCTCGTGACCGAAAGGAACATATGCCGGATGTAAATCAAGTGGCTGGTGTTGTATGTTAAGGGGAGGGGGAGGCTGGCGCTGCCCAGGTCCGGACAAGCACGGCGTGCGCGGTGATGTGTGGAAAGCTGGTCTCATGCGGTGCAGTTGTCGGAAGCGTGTCAAAGTCGTGTGCTGCACTCTGTAACGGTGTGTCAACGCCGGCTTATTGAATATATATATATATATATATATATATATATATATATATGTTTGATTAAAAATAACTGCTGACTCAGCATTGACGAGCTTTTTGATACATCGTTCCAGTTTCCGGGCTTTTGACTTTTCGTCATCGCTTAGATTAAAGATGGTTCGCACAAAATTACTCATATGTTCATCGCTCCTTCCACTCTAACGTTTCGAGATCTTATCTCATCTTCGGAGAAGACTAAATTGCACAAGAAATAAGTTTTGAGTTTTAAAGGATGAAAAATTGTGCACTACTGTTGGAAAACATCTTTTGGTACGGAGAACATAAATGAAGCATAGTAATAAGCATTATGCTTCATTTATGTTCTCCGTACCAAAAGATGTTTTCCAACGGTAGTGCATAATTTTTCATCCTTTAAAACTCAAGACTTATTTCGTGTGCAATTTAGTCTTCTCCGAAGATGAGATAAGATCTCGAAACGTTAGAATGGAAGGAGTGATGAATATATGAGTAATTTTGTGCGAACCATCTTTAATCTAAGCGATGACGCAAAGTCAAAGGCCTGGAAACTAGAACGATGCATCAAAAAGCTCGTCAATGCTGAGTCAGCAGTTATTTTTAATCGAGCATGTATCAAAGAAAGAGTTCTGCCAAAATATTCCAATATATATATATATATATATATATATATATATATATATATATATATATATATATATAGCGTTTCGACGTGCATAATAGGCTTGAACTTGTGAGCGAAACGCTCACTTAAGTGTATGCGTCTATGAATGCTGCTGGGCTCCCGTGCGCGTGGAGGACGCCCTCTTTCCACCGGCCCCTCCGCTTGCCGGCCGTCACCGAGCCGGTGCCGCCCGTTCCAGGCGGCTTCTGGATCAACATGGGCCCGCTGCTGTACCACTACGCCGACATGCCGAGCGAGGAGAGCATCGAGCCCACCTACGAGCACCTCAAGAGCATCATCGTGGCCATCGGGTTTGTGTTTGAGGTAAGTCCCCCCTCCCCCTCCCCGTCGAGCCAGGTGAAGGGGATTTTGTATACCTGTGGTGCTTCACCACGAGTGCTTGTCCCGGTGCGCACTGCCAGACTGTCGCCACATAGATCCGCTGTAGGCTGCAGAGGTGTCCGTTTTTTGGCAGCGTTACGGGGGGATCTTGACCACGCGCTCGCCGCCGTGACGGCCGCCGCATCGCGCGCGATGATCGGCCTGCGCCGGCCGGTAGGGCTCAGTGGTCAGAGGGCGGTCCTGGGCGATGTGACGGGATCGAGCCCAGGCCCGCGGGCGGGTCGATGACAGGGGTAGCGTCGCCGCCGCGGCGTGGTGATCGTCTCCAGGTGCCGTCATTGCCTGGGTGGGAGCCGATCGGGAAAAGGCCGCCCGAGGCTGGGCCTGAACCCAAGGTCCGCCACCTGCGCAGGCACGCACGTCAGCCGACCGCGGCACGGTGCTGGGGCCGTCGGGAGGAGTATTTCGGGCGGCTCTAGTGCGGCCCGCTGACCAGACTGCCGTTTGACCGGTGTGATATGGGACTGCGCATCTGGGGGCTGGCTGGACCCGCGTTCGATTATTGATCTGTTGACATTAGTGGAGCCGCATAGGGTTCCGCTGTTGCCAGATGGCCAGATTTCTCCAAGCATGGGGAGATTTTGCGGTGGGCTTTTCTAGAACTTGTGGCGATTTTCATCAGCTAAGGCGGTGGTGAATCAAAACCGGGGGAGGGGAGAGGGGTGTGAACAGCCCCTTTGATGTGGAACAAAGCTGTACTGACGCCACTGACAGGACTTAGGTGCAGCGGCGGATGGAATAATGTCTGACTATGGACCTGCTGACCAAAGGTTTGTCTGCCTGCTGCGCGCGGACGGGAGCCCGTGGCCCGCGGCGTCCCGTTGTCGCCCCTCCCCGCGGACCCGCCGGCGGGACCCCCTCGGGCGACGCGAGCGGCACCGCCGCCAGTCACGCCCGCCACGCCTAACCGGCTGCACCGGTCCGCAGAAGGAGGAGCAGGCTGTACCCACCGCCTACTGCCAGAACCGCTCCAGCATGCTGCACTGGAGCTACAACTCGTCCTTCTTCGTCTGCCGCAAGCCGAGCTGAGTTGCCCGACGGCCAGCGTGCCTGACACCTTTCGTGCTCAAGAGCGGACGGGACGGCGGTGACGTTTCTCAGCTCGGCTGCGCGCGGCGTGCGGCGGGCCAGGGACCACCGCACGCAGGGCACGCCGTTTTAGCTCCGCTCTCGAAGCGCGGTTTGAACTGTGCCGACACCTCTGTGATACTCTCCTGCCGCGGCGCCCTCCACCGCCCGCGGCCGCGCGCGCCGCCGACGCGCTTTTTGAACGCATTGTTTCTGGTCAGTTCTGTTGTGACGCGAGCGATGCCCGGCTTTTGTAAGAGTAAAGAGGAAGAACGCAAGGGGAGAATGCATCGATGTCAAGTTTCCCCGCCCGCAACGCAGTAGCTTCCGGATGGGTGGCCTGCACTGCGAACGGCGTGGCCATCTCGGTTCACGGTGCATCGTGGGTCGCATTCGATGTGTGTCTGGCGTAGACGTGGCGCGGCCGTTGACGCAGTAATAAATATTGGTGGGACTGACGTCATCCCTGGGATTAGGGCCGTCGTGGGATGCAGCGCCGCTGGCGGCCTGCATCTGGCCAGCGGCCTCACCGCTGGCGGCGGTGAGTCAGTCCGGCTCGTGACACTGGCTGACTGACGTGGCTCATTAAGCCTGCAGTTAATGGCGCTCAGCGCTTGCAGGCCAACGGCGCAGCTGGTGGAGATGAAAGCCGTTGGGTGTCATGGGCTTCATCGCTTGGAAAACGCGGAGAGGGTTACGGACAGCCTGCCCTTGAGCAGTGGTGGCTGCGGGTGGACGCGCCTCCTGGGCGAGCGGCGACGACGTGCTGGCATCCCCGGATGAGTTCGCGTGCCATTATTTGTCTTTCGTCACTATGCCATACAGAATCGCTGTGACGTGCCAAATCCATGATGCATGCCATGCATGCGTGGAGGGTGTAGTAGACCCGCAGGTCAACTACTGACCTGGCAATGCGATCATCCACAAAGGGTACGATCACCGACTGCTCAGTTTATTAGTGGTTACATTGTTCAGAACACAAACCTGAACACATGTCAGCATCATAGGCGGGATTGAACAGGGGCATGCACGCGCTTAAAGCAGAGATTTGTCCACGACATATGGGTGACACATGCTAAAACGCCACTACTGGGAGCGACACACGCCGGTTAAAATCAGGAGCGAGAAAACAGGGCGCCGGTCTGAAAACAACCTGAAATCGGGGGTGGGAGAGGGGGGGGGGGGCTGGAAGATCTGACGGGTAACGCTGTCGCGCCTGTCCGCCGTCAGTTCCTCCGACCTCACCGGATCGAAAGCGACACCGCAGGCCGTCGTCTCGCAGGGGCGGCCGGCAGCGCGCGGACGCCGGCAGCGCAACACAATCACATCGCGGCGGCCCAGCGCCGAGCCTACGCCCCCGTACACGGAGCCTACACGCGGGACAGCGAGCCGACACTACGGCAGATCCCCGGCGAGCACGGCCCGCCCGCGGCCACCACACGAGGCCGCTCACAATGACTAATCTCACGCGGGGCTGTGACCTTTGCGTCGGGCGAGACCGGGCCGGCGGCGCGCCCGGGGACCCCCGTCGCCCCCGTGCTGACCCTCCCGGCGCCATCCCTCTGCCGCGCTGACCCGCACGGCCCGGCCGGTCGCCGCGCCACCTTACACGAACACCTTGGCCAGCGCGTCGGCGCCGCCGGACGCGATGTACGGCTTGGTGGGGTGAAAGCCGACGCAGTGGATGCTCTCGTCGCTCTTCTTGCGGTGGGCGGTGATCTCCTGCACGCACTGCTTGTTGTCCAGGTTCCAGAGCCGGATGCTGCAGTCGTGGCTGCCCGACAGCAGGTACAGGCCGTTGGGATCGACCGCTAGGCTGGTGACGGCGTCCTGGTGCGCCACCATGGCGTGCACCGCCTTGCCCGTCACGTTGTCGTAGAAGCGGATGTGCCGGTCCTCGTGCGCCGCCACCGTCACCGGCATGGTCGGGTGCGAGACCACGCAGTTGATCTGGTCGCGGCCGGCGGCGCCCGCAGCGTTCTGGTCCGACTCCAGGTGCACCACCGGCTTGGACGTCTCCAGGTCGTAAATGACCGAGCGGCCGGTGGTGTAAGCCACGGCCATGTGACTGCAGTCCTCGTGCACGAAGTCCACAGAGCTGGGCTGGCCGAGCGCCGGGTCGGCCGAGTACGACTGCAGCAGCGGCGCCCTGGTGCCCGGGCTCCACAGCTTGACGGTGCCGTCCGCCGAGCACGAGAGCAGCTGCGTCTTCTGCGTGTGGAACGCCAGCCCCCAGACGGCGTCCGTGTGCTCGGCCAGCGTCTGGCTGAGCGCGTCAGGGTCGTACGCGTCGTACGGGTCGATGTTGGAGTTGGGCACAGTCCAGACGCGCACCGTGCCGTCCAGACCACCGGAGTAGCACTGCTCACCCGTTGGGTTCATGCAGATGGAGAGCACGGCGCCGACGTGGCCGCGGAACGTGTAGATGGGCTCCACGTCCAGGAAACGCAGACTTCTTGCCGGCAATCGTACGCAGCAGGTTCCACAGCTTCAGCGTATGGTCCTCGCTGGCCGTGATCAGTACGGGTTCGATAGGGTGGAAGGCCAGCGCCCGGACGCTGTCAAAGTGGGACCTCAGGGTGTACTTGGCATTCCACATCTTGGAGAAGGGCTCTTTGGATGTCCCCGGCTCATAGGTGCCCTCTGCCTCGTTCGTCACAGTCAGCTGGGCCAGCTCTCCCAGTCCCATTTCTTCCAAGGTGTCATCATTTACTTCCAGGCCATACCGAGCTGAGTTGATCCTCATGCCAGGCTGATGGAGACTGGGGTCTTTGCTGGCTGCGGGCCTCCCACTCCCGCCTTCTTCCCATGGATTCACCATATTCCCAATGGAGATGTTGCTGAAATCAAAGTCTAGAGACTTCAGGGCCATGGCCATGTTTGACGAATCCCGCTCATCATCCCCAAGAGATTTGTCCTGTTTTCCTATGTTTATCTCTTCACTCTTCCAGTCTTCTTCATCGTCATCCCCGTCATCTACTTCCACTCCACCTTCATTGAGAAAATGGCAGTTAGCCAGCACAGCTTGTTCTGCCTCACGAGCATGTCCTCACCCAAAAGGGCCACCTGGCTCTGAGACATAGCCTTGCTTTGCCCATCCTCCTTGGATGTTGCAGGATCATTGCCCATGGGTGGTGGACTTCCATCTTTGTTGTCTTTTAGGCCTAGCAATGAGCGGACCCTGTTTGACCTCACATCAATGATGGTATCAGTGTAGCCAATTTCATGCAAGTACTGTCTGAGAAGCTGCCGCCCCTGCCTCCAGGAAATGTTGCTGCTCGCAGTTATCAGCTGATCCCCTTCTCCAGCATCTTCTTGGCCTTCATCAAACACAGCAGGCTTCAAGTCACCTTGTGACAGCTCTGCACCATACTTGAGTTTGTGAAATCTGGCACGCTCCTGCTTGAGGGCATGCTCAAGCATTTTATCCTCCTGACCAGATCATTCTTCAAGTTTTCTTGACCTTTTCCGCTCACCCTGAAGAAACGCAATCTTTGCCTGTAGCTCAGCTCTCTCTACATCCCATTTCGACCTCTCCAGCTCAAACTTTCGCCCATTCATGTTGAATGAAATGGAGAATTCCAGGCACAGAATACGCATGCCTAGTATTCACTTCATCAGGCTGTTTTGGTGCACCCATTGCCATTCCCACAGCTAAGTTGTTTGCTTGACCATTGTGGCTTTGAATTGACATATCTGATTCGCTGGTCACAGTCATGGCAGGTCTTCAAATAGTGAAATACCTACATCATTATCGTTTCACAGGACGAACAGGTCCGGTCTGAAAAAAATGCAGATCAGCGTCATTGCGGGTGGAATCGCCCCTTGCATCATATCCACCATTACTGTACGCCGAACATAAAGTACGTACGACCTGAGGCATCCACACATAAATACTCACTCGTAATAAAATCTGTGGTCTTCCTGTAGAACTACTTGGCCCCTTTCCTGCAGGCTTACGCGCTCGCAAAGTCTCCGTGCCACCAACTTCCTCCGTTCCCATCCAACGCAATGACCGCCCTCCCAGTCCGGCCCTTCAATGTGGCGAGTTGTGACAAAAAACCCAGAACTGTTTTCATTATAGAGATGGGCCAGATGGGCGCAAGCGAGTACAAGTACTTTTCCATCAATTTGAACATAAACAGGAAAGGGCGCGTTCAAATTTGGAACAGTGTCACATAGTGAAATCATCCGTAATTTTAGGCTGACACATAAGCATGTAGCTCGAACGCTCTTACTCCATACAAAACCATGCTTCTTTGCTTCAAGTAATGCAATGCATAAGGAAAAATGGAATGACAGCGTCCCGCCCGGGCAGCAGTGAGTGTTGAAATGTGTGATCATTTCCTATGCGGATCCGTGATGCGGTCTACAACACGTGTACCTTTGTGTAAGGCCAGTCATAAATGTTTTTCATTTCCCATGAGGTCCCGCTGACCGTGTGCCAGGCAGTCGCGTTCGACGCGTTCGAGCGGCCACGATGGACCGGTGCCCACTGCAATCGAAGCATCAGGTCTGACCAAAAGGCATGTATTGGGCGAAAAACGCAGTCTGCAACACGTGCGCATTTATGGAAGGCCCTTATGCAGATGCGATGATCCGGCAGGTATCACGGCCGTACAGCGTACGTGGATGCAGCGTTGCGTGACGTCTGCGACGCGTGTGGTCATTCCTCAACAACTTCAAAATGCCTCTTCACCGCACGGTGGCGTTTATGCGAAACTGCACAGACGTTGGTATCCATCACTGGCAGTTGGTCACGACGCGTATCAGGGGCATAGCCATAAGTCATTACATCCATAAACGATCGCTGTCGTAGCCGGAAAATCACAGATTGACAGACGAGCGAATGGAAGACCGTATCGCGCGAAGCAGCAGCAGAGAATCTAACAGTGTGATCGCATGCTACAAGCCCCCACCGACCACTTACAGGTACTACAGCTATCAGCGTGTAATTCTCCGCAGGCCGCCCACGGTCGCACGTCCGTGTGAGCCGTATCCTCCCAAGTGTGGCAGGGCACAACTGACCGCAGGCATGGCGGCCCAGTCAATTCAGTTCCCACCACGCCGAAGCTGTTCACAGCGGGGTCCGGTGCTGACGCGCCCCGCGGCTATCGCTCACAACACGGTGCATGGTCGACGAAGGCGAAGGAAAGCTAGAGTAATACAAACAAGAAGACAGAAGCACAAGCACGATGCTCTTCAGTGTGTTCATCATTATCCCTCCAATGTGAGGAGATCGACACACCCCGCCTTCACCCCTCCCCCCCCTCCCCACGGCCGCAGTGCGACGAATCTCGCTTCATCTGCACTTCTGCAGGCGCACATTTGGATCACATTCCCATACATCATCGACGGTAAAAAGCACGACAGCCGCATGACTAATCGAATAATAATCGTGAAAATCACTTAATGTTGATTCAGAAACCACTCAAGTAAGCCTCAGAAGCCTAAGCGAAAAAAAACTACCGAAACTAGAAAAAGTACAAGATAAAGCTAATAACTAAGCCTTAAAATTTAACATTCAAACTTAAAACTGAGACTACGACTACAAAATTCTAAAAAGTGTTTTGCAGCCAACTTCTACTGGCAGGTGAGCTGAGATTCCACATACTGGCAGCCATTTGTACGCATTTTTGCTCAAGTGAAATACACTTAAAAGGTATGTCGCAACGCGGACCCCTTTGAAACAGCTCTTCGGAACTGTAATACTGAGCTCAAACACAATCTTTGGCTTAATCGTTAGTTGTACACAATTTTAGTGTAGTTTGCCGCGCTTGTCAGCAAACCACGCAAAACGGCAAGATTACGTCTCCCAAAGAACGTTTCCTCCTGAGTTTCAATCATCAGATCTCTGAGCGGGTTTCCACAGATTGTCCGACATTGCGTCGAGCGAGCTTACAGTTCCTAGCATCTAACCTAATGAAGAGAAGCCGCACGGCAGCGTCGAGGAAAGGTCGCCGCGATGAGATACCTCCCTTCTCGACCAAGACCACAATGGTCAAAGGGTGGCTGAAATGATGAAATGCGATAAACTCAAAATGGGTGACCACGTGCGACAGGAGCAAGGACTTAAATCAATCGTAACACCGACAAGGCAAGCTGTCTGCTGCCACCCTTCCCTGCAGTGGCCACCGTCCTTGCAACTTTAGCCCTTCACAGAACGCACTCACGCACTTGGACAGGTCAGTGTTGTCAAAGGCCACAGAAACTGCAGGGACGGTACATGTCTCGCCCTAAAATCTGACGACACCGCAATCACCCGAACCCTGTGCAGCAAGCTGAGAGGCAGACCGCTGTCTGGAGGCGGGTAGAACAGCATGACAGTTCCGCGAAGCGAGCGAAGCAGGTCATTCCTCTATAGCGATTTACCAGAAGACTGCTTAGCGAGGCGCCACTTCCCAGTCGGACAGAAAACCTGTCCGTTACCGGCCACTCAGCAGTCAGTGAGAAGTCCTTTCCTGGCGGCGTGTGCAGTCAATCCCTCGCAGAGAGCGAAGCATCGGGCCTCTCAATCTTAGTGCCGAGTCGGCAGGCCGTGTCCCGAGAGGGGGCGGAGCAGCGTCTGCCCTCACAGCGAGCGAGGCGCCACCCGCTCCTCCGCGGCGAGCGCGCCATACTGCCGCTCCTCCGCGGCGAGCGCACCACGCTGCCGCTCCTCCGCGGCGAGCGCACCATCTGCTGCTCCTCCGCGGCGAGCGCT